CCCTATGCATGGAGCTGCTTCCCAGAACACCTGTGGAAGAGCTGTAGAGCATATGTGGTAGAGCATCTGCTTTGCATGAGTGTCTTCTGCTAAACAGCTTGCATTCTCAAACAGAAGTCAATGCCACCTAACAATAAAACATAAAAATTCAAAATACAGCACAACTAAACAATAAATCAGCTCAGAAGAGCCCTGCTGGACCAGGTCAAAGCCCATCTAGTCTAGCACCCTGTTTTCACAGTGGCTAACCTATGGGAAACCCACAAGCAGGAAATGAGATCAACAGAATTTGTAGTTCCCCGCAAATGGCATTAATGCCTCTACCAGTAGGGTAGAATACTACCATTGCAGCTACTAGCCATTGATAGCTTGATCCTCTATGAATTTGTCTAATCCTCTTTTAAAGCCATCCAAGTTGGTGGTCATCATGACCTCTTGTGGTAACAGATTCCGTAGTTTAGCTGAACGCAGCACAAAGAAGTACTTTATCTTATCTGTCCTGAATTCGCCAACATTCTGCTTGAAAAGTGAAATACAGAAATAGAATATTAAAAGCCATTCAAATAATAAAAGCAGAATTTAAACATTTAAAATACAATTCAACAGACTTAAATTGGGAAGGCTTGGGAGAAAATAAAAGTTATGACTTATTTGTATTGAATTGGATTGTTATAAGATCTTGTGTATTTTGTTGTTTCTTCAGCTTGCAAACAGCCTTGCATCTAGCAATATAAAAAGGTGGTATACAAATGAAAACTGAAATAAAAATGGAAAAAAGAGTCATGAATGGAATGGTATTGGGAAGAAATCAAGATGACAAACTTTTTTTATAAAAGAATGGAAATGATTTGTGGAATATTTGCAAACAAATTGTAAACAGATAAGAACATTGGCAGAATTATTGTAACAACCTGCAGTTTTATAAGAGTATATATTTAAAGTAGATGAATAAATGAGCAAATTAAGTTAATTTGGATATACAGAAAATATCAAAAATAAATTTAAGGAACCACAGAAAGAGGGGGAAGGAAGTCAAGTTTTGAAATGTTAAAATGATTGTAAAAATGTATTGAAATGTATAAAACTGAAAATAATTAATCAAAAACTAACAAAAAAAACAACAAAGTGCATGCCTGACTATACTTTGCTTTCCCTCGTCTCTTTATCATGAAACTCAGGAGGACATGATCCTCCTCAGTTTCTGAGTACTTCCACTCTGTCAATCAGTTCCTCGCTGTTGGTGTCAGCCAGGTCCAAGATGTACCCTGGTCCAGAACTGTTTAGCATTTTGTACACCAGTAGTAAAGCGGCTCAATAGAAATTTGGCAGACAGTAGAATGCTTTCAACTGAGGTGGCTCATGTTGCCAATAGGTTGCCCCAGAAACAAAGCTCTTACCATGTGGGTTAAAACACAGAGCTGCAAATTGCCCTGGGAGGGAGGGGGCACAGTGGACTCCCCCCATGAATCTGCTATCAATGTAAAGCAGTGACAGGGAGTTTGAAGCCCCATGGGTATTGGGGTAAATGGACCAGTCTCCACTTGTTGTACTGTAGCAACATTTGCCCTTGGTCCATCTGATATACCTATCTCGGTCTGCCCTTGGCCAGCTCCCACCTGCCTGCCCTTCTTACATCAAGTTAGTCCAATAGTGGTTGTCAGCTTCTTCCGCCTTAGCCTCAGTGTTGCTCTTGTAAGCAAGAAGCATGGGGACAAAAGATGAATTAGTTGGCTCCATATGTCATTGGCTCCTGGTCCACCTTCTACTTGGGCTTCCTACCTACTGCCCTGCCAGTCCCAACAGGCACCAGCCACCACTCACTGCAACTCCCATCTTGGCTATTGACTGAGCTGGCTGGGGTGATGGGATTTGGAGTCCAACAACATTTGCAGGGCCACACGTTCCCCATCCATGGTTTAAAAGCAAGAAAGAAATGTAAAAGGCAGCCCATTTGGGCCACCTTATAAAAACCTAAGTAAAAGGAGGAAAGTGTGGGGGGTGTTGCATAGGGTTTGTTTATTATTATTATTATTAAATAGATATTGATACAGAATAAAAGTCAGGGACCTTTAGGGACGTGGGTGGCGCTGTGGTCTAAACCACAGAGCCTAGGGCTTGCCAATCAGAAGGTCAGCGGTTTGAATCCCTGTGACGGGGTGAGCTCCCGTTTCTCAGTCCCTGCTCCCGTCAACCTAGCAGTTCAAAAGCACATCTAAGTGCAAGTAGATAAATAGGTACCACTCCAGCGGGAAGGTAAATGGTGTTTCCGTGCACTGCTCTGGTTCACCAGAAGTGGCTTGGTCATGCTGGCCACATGACCCAGAAACTGTACGCCGGCTCCCTCGGCCAATAAAGCGAGATGAGCGCCGCAACCCCAGAGTCATCCGCGACTGGACCTAATGGTCAGGGGTCCCTTTACCTTTACCTAAAAGTCAAGTGCTTCACTCACTATAAACCTGCAGAGGTCAAGGTGAGTGATACTGAGATGTAGTTGAAGCCTTTGATCATGATCATGCTTTCTTCTCCACACCTCAGAGATGTGATTGAAGAAGGGAGCATCTTCGCTGTGATCCTCTCCTGACAGGGATGGGAGTTGTGTACACAAAAAACAACTGAAGCATTTTTGAAGACACCCCCCCTTTTTAAAAGGAATTCTGGGAACTGTAGTTTACCACTCACGGTCGTTACAATTGTCAGCATCCTTATCAAACTACAGTTTCTAGGGTGTTGTGCATTGTGTGTATGCACCCCACTATTATAATCTATAAAGTAGCTTTATCGATTATAAAGTAGCTTGCACACTGAGACTTGCGCATTTGGTGCACATGTAGGCTTGCACATTTGGGGAGGTATCAGTCTGTGGAAAATGCTGGGCACAAGACTTTCGGGGCTATTAAAAATATAGCCAAACCAGCACCCCCATTTGCACAGAAGACCAGAGAGAATGATTTCTGAAGCAGAAAGTGAGACTGATGGCAATCCGGTCTATATTTCCTAGAAGTGGCAACGAAAAGCAAAACAAATCCCTTTCCAGACTGTCTGTGCTCTGGGGCTGCCTCTAGAAAGGTGTTATAGGGTTGCTGTTATCCTCCCCTAGGCCCCCCACACAGAGACACTCCGCCCCGGTTGAAGGGTAATTAATGGACACGTGAATTAACGAGATTGGGGTGTGTGTGCCAAGATTCTATTCGTATGTTTTCTGAATGGGGTTGTAGCTGGTGCCTTTGAAAGACTTTCTCCCCTCTCTTTTCCACTTACAGTACTTAGGAGGAGGATTGGGAAATCCTCTTTGCTGCCATCAGGGGGAGCATTTGAGGTCTTTAAAGAAACATATATATATATATACACACACAAAACAAAACAACAATCCCGCACCCCCAAAAAACGTCCCAGCTGAGAAACAGATCCACAAACGAATAAACGTTCAGTATCTTACCTGTGGCTACCACTCCGCTTAACGGAAGCAGAGGAACTCAGGAGCTAAAGAACAAATTTGATATTTGAATTAAAAAACAACAACACAGTCTCCAACATCAGTGTTTTAGTTTTTCTGAATGAAAAGCACAAATTAAATCGATGAGAGATTTCTTTTTCTTGGGAGAAGGAGAACCGAAAAGGCAAACCCTCCGCACATCCATTGGTTTTCCTTGCTCCAGCTTCTGGAAGGACAAACGGCTTCCCCCCTCTCCCTTTTTTCCCCCGGCGATCCGATGGGAAACCTTGGATGCAACGCTCTGGGTTAGCTGCACCGTCTAGCTGCTCCGAGGGGGGACCACAAAAGGGGGCAGCTCTGGCTGGCGATTTCATAACTTTTAAAGGAAATAATATTGGTGGGGGGATTTAACACAGAGGGGAGAGGGAGAGGGAGAAAGAGAGAGCGCGCAAAAGAGAGAGAGAGAGAGAGAGAGAGAGAGAAAGAAAGAGAATCAAGTTTCAACACTCTTTATGCGGTGTAGGAAGAAATAATAATATGTATAAGAATGAGGTTCACCAGCAAAGTGCAAAGAGGTTCATGAGAAGGGGGTGGTTGGGGGTGCGAGAGAAGTGCCAAAAGGGTACAGCGCAGTGGTGTGCGTGAGTGTGTGGGGGGGCAGGAGTGTGTGCGTGCGTGTATTTTGGGACAGGTTTTAAAGCACCTCTGGTGGAAATTCACATTGGAGTATACTACCTTCACGTTGACTGCCCCTTTTAAATACGAATAAATAAGGGAAGTAACAGCGAAGGTGGTGCTGTAAGAACCCGCCGAAGTGCTCCAACCTATGTAGCTCTCTCTAACCCCCCACCTCGTTTACTTCAAAGTGATTGATTAGTCACGATCACTGCAGTTTGGGGGGAATCTCTCTGTCGAGGTGGAGCACCCTCCTCCCCAATAGATTTCTTGTTTACTCATCATCTTGGAGGGGGCAACTTCCCCCCACTCTTTCTCTTCCCCCCTTTCATTTAAGTGGAGAAGAAAGGAGGGGGAGAAGGGGGAGAAAGGGGGCTGTGGCTTACGTTATAAAGGAGGCACCAAAAAAGAAAGAGGGAGAGAGAGAGAAAAAATTAAATGAATTAGAGCATCTTTTGGGAAGGGGGAGGGAACCTCGTGTGTGCTCGAATCTTTGGAGCCGAAGCTGTTTCTTTTTAAAGAAGGAGGGAAAAGAGAAAAGGAGAAAGGGAGAGAGAGAGAGAGAGAGAGGGAGAGAGGGAAGGAGGAGGAGGAGGAGGAGAGGAGGAGGAGGCAGGAAGAAAACCGAGAGAGACGACAAGCTCTGAGTTTTTAAAAATCTCATTTTTATTTTGGTTTCAAAAGGTGAGGGGGGAGAAAGAAATCCTCAAAGCAAAAAAAAAAAAAGAAAAGAAAAGAAAGAAAGAAAAAGATAAAAAGGGGGAGAAGCCACTGAGAAGGGGTATAAAAAAAGCGAGTCCCTCAGAAGAGTGAAGCGCAAAGCGAGGAGGAGCCCCAACCTGGCAGCACGCGAGGACTTCCAAGGGAGCAGGGTGGGGGGGGAAGCCTGGAAATGCAGCGCCGGAGCGTCCTCCTGCCCCTTCTGCTGGTGTGTGCGGCCGCGGCGGCGGCAGCCCACGCCGGCGGCGCCGAGTGCGGGCTGGCCGAGCGCTCCGGCCGGGCTCGAAGGGACACCCGGCAGGCGGCGCAGCGGCAGCAGGCGGCGGCGGCGGCGCAGCAACACGCCGCTCTCCACTCGCCTTACCCCGCCCCGGGCACCTGCGCCACCAGGTTAGCCCGGGGTAGACGCTCCTCCGCGGGCGCGGGCGGGCCGGAGGCGCCGCGGGCTCCGCGCCGCAGGAGGCGAGCTCAGGAGGGCGGGGAGCAGCCGGCAGTCAGCCGAGCGCTCTATTTTCGCGGCGAGGGCGACCAGCTGCGGCTGAAGGCGGAGGTGGAGTTACCCCGGGATGCCTTCACGGTCCAAGCGTGGCTACGGCCCGAAGGCGGGCAGAAGACTCCGGCGGTCGTCGCAGGTAAGCAGGACTTCCTCTACTGGGGGCGTCCAGAGACACCTACCCCTTCACACACACTTGGGTTGAGGACTCCAGTTCTACTCCAGAGGAGATCCATTGGAACGGATGGAATTCAGTTAGGCATGACCATTCGTTCCACGGGGTCTATTCTGAGAAGAACCCATTGCAATTAATGTATTTTGTTAGATTTTTACGCATGGATTTCGAGACGTCTACTCTGAGTGAGACTGACGGGAGATCCAATCCTTTGAAATGAATGTACTTCAGCTGTATTCATTCGGGTCCACAGGTCTACTACGAGTGGAACTGGCGTTGGATCTTACCCGTTGCCCAAAGGAATTACGTGTTGAACGTTGGCGACGTTTAGACCACGTTTGTGCGTGCCACATCTGGACTTACTGTTCAACTCTGGTTGAATGCAAAGTGTACGGCGGGCGGGAGGAGGCTCTTGAGTGTTTATGTCGTGGTTTGTTGTTTCTTTAAAGCCACGTGCTGTTGTGTCTCCAGTATATGCATGCACGCCTGTCTGTCTCTTCTATTTTGTGAATGGGCAGAAACTTAGGAAGTTTGGGGAAAACCGCAGGAGGAAAGAAACCTATGCACAGGTACTGCTCACGGGATCCCCACAGACATCTGCTTTGCCACTTTGAGAAATGGATGATGGACTAGACGGGCCCTTGGCCTGATCCAGCAGGCTAAACTCCCCCCCCCCCCCAAAAAAAAACCCCTCTTCCTTGTGCTTACTTCCGAAGAAACGTGGCTAGTAGAAAAGCCCCGGGGCCAGCAAGCGAGCGAGGGATGAGATAAGGTGGAGAGGGCGTTATGCGTCTCCCCTTTAGACAGGTTGATCCCGATCCTGCCTAAGAGCTGCCTTTTAACTGTGGTTTCATTCATTTTCGATGAGTTAACCACACGCGTTTAACGGTGCCTCCCTATCGGACTCCCCTACTTGAGAGTAAGCCCGCTGGTATGGGAAGGAAAGGAAACTTACTTATTAGCCCACGTGAGTTGGAGCGTATTGTAAAAAGGCTTCAATCCTAAGCACGGCTGCTTTGACATAAGACTGCAATATCCTAGCCCCGCTGAATCTGAGCGTGAAGCCCACTGAATTCAATATGATTTACTCCAGAGTAGATGTGTTTGGGATTGTGCTGTAAACCCGCGGGATTTCTCCCTAAGTACACGTGCGCTGCAGACAAGGAAAGCACGCTGATGTGGCAGGAAAAAGTTAGTCCTCCTCCTGTGTAAACCGTTTGAACTGGGTGGGCTTGCCTTCTAAGTAAAGCGTACACTGGCTCTGTCCTATAGGAATCCTTGGGTTGTACCCAATCTAAGTGCTACTCGGAGTAGACCAAGTGAAATGAATGAACCTAACTTAGTCATGTCCGTGAATTTCAGTGGGTTTACTCTGCGTAAGACTAGCGTTGGATATAACCCAGTGAAGTTTTTACTGGATCCTGCTCATTTTTGTTCAAGAGCTCATTCCTCCCCTCACCAGTGAATTCATAATGGGACATTTAAAAAGAGAAATATTTCTCATTTGAATAGGATCATGGGAAAATGATGTCTCTTTAGACATGTACTCCAGTGGATTGGACAGGCAGCTTATCTTCCTCTCTTTAAAGGTTCTCACTTTCCAAATGTGTTGGAAAGCTTCCCTGCTTTACTTTTGCTATTTGATGTTAGAATAAGCATGTGGTTTCCTAAAGCAGTGCTTTTTAACTGTATAAAGTGCTGGCAGTTTTTAAAATAGTGATAACTCATGAGCGCTTGCAGTTCCCAAACCTCATCGCGCAACGGGGCAGAATATGTGAAGGATCTTTTTTTCCCCCAAAAGCACACACATTTTTTCAGCATTTTTGAAATTCTTTCCAATATTGCAAATGTCAACAGCTGACTACAATATCATGTTGCACTATAAAAGTTTTGGCGCTCTCCCCCCCCCCAAAAAAAAATACTGTTGAACTGTAAGCTTTATTAATCATGAGGTCTTGGAACACGTGTCTTGTTTTTCATTCAACGAGGCCCCGGGAGAAGCTTGGACACATCCTGTACATATCCCTCTGTTCTTGGGAAGAGTAAAGAGAGAGAAATGGGGAATATATTCTCTGGTGGAGTTGGACTTGAGAGGCTTGCCCTGATCCCTAGAGATAGAGTATTGGGATATGAGTATGAAAGTCTGTGATTTGGAACACTTTTAATTTGTTTTATTACATTTTCATATTGACTATCCACCAAGGGGCTCAAGACAATATACATTGTTCTTCCTCCCCACTATTCAACTTTTATATCTACCGTATTTTTCGCTCTATAAGGCGCACCAGACCACAAGACGCACCTAGTTTTTGAAGTAGGAAAACAAGAAAAAAAATATTCGGGATCTCAGAAGCCAGAACAGCAAGAGGGATCGCTGCGCAGTGAAAGCAGCAATCCCTCTTGCTGTTCTGGCTTCTGGGATAGCTGCGCAGCCTGCATTTGCTCCATAAGACGCACACACATTTCCCCTTACTTTTTAGGAGGGAAAAAGTGAGTCTTATAGAGCAAAAAATACGGTATACCTCTGTGAGGCTGATAAGGCTGAGAGATAGCAACATGCCCCAGTGAGCTTCATGCATGAGTGAGAACTTGAATCCACGTCTTCCTTGCCTATTTTGACACTCTAACCAGTACACTATATTGCTTCTTCTGGGGGAAGGGGGTCAGTAATGAGAGCCAGTAACGAGTTCTATTAAACCTGTGGCAGTACCCTGAGATACCACTGAGGAAGCCTCTGGTTCAAATAATTTACTGTGTTTTGCTGCATTCTTTACAACAACCTTGTAAGGTAGGCAAGAGTTTGTTACCCTTGTATTGCATATCTTTATTCCCACTCTCTCAGTCTTAGTTTACCCTCACCCTCACCCTTGCTTCTGCAATGTGACAATAAATAAATACTTCCCAGTGTTGCAGAGTTGTTGTAAGGGCTATAGGAAAATGATATATATGAAAGAGTCTGCAGAGCTATGCAAATGTTAAATATAGCTTAAACTTTATTGTTATTACCTACCCATAGATCTCTTAAAGGAAAAAGGAGGGGATTCCCTCTCTCACACACACTGTTCTGGCAGCAGATGCTTTTCCTCTCTCTTTTTTCTGTCTCTGGGGCTGTTTTCTGTCATTCCTGCCACATTACAGTGTTTTTATTTCTTTATCTCGACTGCCCTATACTTGACCTACAAGATTGCTGTCACTCAGAGGAGTCTGTCCTGAAACAAAGAAAACAGAAGCCACAGCAAAAAAAGTGGATGGGGGGAGAGAGACTTTAACTCTCCTTCCACTTTCCCACTCAAGATGCCTTGTGCTGAGTCAGACAATTGGTCCACCTAGCTGAATATTGTCCACACAGACCAGCAGCTGCTGTCCAGGATTTTGAGAATGTGATGGTCCCGGCCCTACCTGGAGATGCTGGCAATTGAAGCTGGGGCCTTCTGCATGCAGGGCAGGTGCCTTGCCACTGAGCCACAGTCCTTCTTTCTGCCCCACTCTCACTTTTAAACTATGGATGTTTGAGAAATTTACCTGGCTCGCCTTTAAGTTGTGAACTGACCTAACTCACACTCTCTGAAACTGATCAGTGAAGTGAAACACAGCTATCCTTTGAAATTTGAACTGCTCTGAATTTTGTGGTGTTGTTCTTCAACCCCCATCCCCCACGCCCCCATATGTATATGGTAAGGTGTACAGTCAGACAAAAGGCACATATTAGTCAAACTAGCATAAAAATGTGTACATCAAACAACACAGTGCACACAAATTGAGTGTATTAATTTTTATGTGGACTTTTTTGAGGCAGAAAAATGAGGAGCTTCAAGAAACCAAATGCTTTCTTTTAAAGCAGCTGGATCTGAGGGGAAAAGAATCCTGTAGGAGGTAACTTGCTGAAAATGTTGTGAGACTTTAGGTCCCATCAGCCCTGGCCAGCATGGACAAATTATTAAGGATGGTGGGAATCGTAGTCATACAGCAGCTAGTGGCCCCCATGTTCTCCCACCCTTCTGCTTTGTACACCAAATGGCCCCCATCTTGTGAAGAAAGAGAACAGGAGCAATCCTAAGTGAGGAAGATAATTTCAGCTGTAATCTTCCAGTCTTTTTCCTTTGTTCATCAATGTTGTGACTTCTGGGTCTCAGGGATGCAACTGATCCTATTTTATGAGATAGAAAACAGTGGAGTGCAAGCTTAGATACAGATATATAGACCAGTGGTGCAGAATGTTTTTCAGCACCACCTTGGCTGTTCCTAGTTAGTGAGACTCATCTAACAACATGAAATGGAGCTTTTAGTGTTGGTGGTCCAGTTCTGTGGAATGCTCCACCAGCAGAGATTTCACCAGGCTCTTTCTGTTTCAGCCTTTAAAACCTTTCTGAAAAATTTCCCTATGTTGCCAGGCTTATGGAGGCAATAAAGAAAACACCTTTCCATAACAGCTGTTGTCCTCTTGTTTTATATGTTTATGTGGTTGTTATTATATATAGATACAGTTGTTCGAAACCTTTCTGATATCCCCCCTTTTGTTGATATAACTATTTTTATAAATATATTATAACTTTTTTATATAAATGAAGAAATTTAATTGGATAACTGGAGAGTAGATCATGGCAGGAATGGTGAACCTTGAGATCCTCCCAATGGTTTTGCACATGAAGTGTGAGTTATAAGTAATGTAAATAAATAAATGCAGATAACTTTTGCATTGGGAGCTATCTTTAACTTTTTTAAATGAAAGATTACATATTTAAGGGGAAAAAATCATGTGCTAATGGTAACATTCCTTTTCCATGGTGTTGGATTTTTATTTCCAAGAAATTATGATTGATTGATTGATTGATTTTTAGAAACAACCCTTTAAGAAAGGAAGACTATATTATGGTTATACCTCTGATTTTAAACTTTTAAAATTCAAAATGGAGCAGGTGAAATATAAGAGATGTAGCTGAGATTCCTGCATCACAGGGGGTTGGACTAGATGACTGTTGTGGTCCCAATTCTACAGTTCTATGATTAACGTTAGAACACTGATTACTACTTTGTTTCAGGCCAGCATGGAGTCTAAAACTAGCATTTTCCCTCTGTCAATAGTTTAGAAACATTTACATTTTGTAACTAAGCAATGTTTTAGCTGCCTGTGCATCTTTTCTGGCTGTTGCATGGAAAAGCACATGAATCTGACCTTCAAAAGGGTTTTGTTATGACTTCCCAAATGCGTGGTCTGTCTCTATGCAGGGGAAATGGGATAGCTTGGAAAGAGCTTTTAAAAGGGGACATTTTGGGATTCACTGGAAGCGCATGCTTTTAAGGTTTTACTACCTATACTCCCAAGCTTTTCTTCGCTGCTTGCTTTGCTGTGTTAAATCTCTGCTGGGGCTCTCTCACCAAAGAGTGCTTGCCCCAGACTTGGGTCTTGGCTTCCATAATTCCAACAATGTAGACAAATGTTGAACTAGACGGGTGTATGATCTGCCTCTGTATAATGATCTGCCTTCTCAGTGGGAGGGCTGTAGCTCAGTGGTAGAGCTCCTGCTTTGCAGCAGAAGGCCCCCGTTCAAGCCCTGGAACCTCCAAGTAAAGTTGGGAGAGAGACTGCCTGAAGCCCTGGAGAGCCAAAGCCAATGAGAGGCAGTTGTTGTTGTTGTTTTTAGAAAAAGTACTGATTTACTGGTATTTCATTAAAAAAAATTAAAGTGGTTCACAGCTTATAATAAAAACCATGTATAAAGTTTAAAAACAGAAACCGATTAACCACTGTGGAGAGATGTATTTTAACTGCCTGCATAGGCCTGGAGGGCAGGTGGTGCAATGCAGCCCAGTTTGGCTATGGTGGAAGAGTCACTCCATCAGCATTGGTGGTTTGCCTGCCCCAGGCACCAGCAACACATACTATGCTGCTGGAGGAAGGACTATAGCCCAGTGGTCAGGGCATATGTTTTTTTGCCTCAAGGTAATACTGGGAGTACAGTGGTACCTCGGGTTAAGTACTTAATTCGTTCCGGAGGTCCGTACTTAACCTGAAACTGTTCTTAACCTGAAGCACCACTTTAGTTAATGGGGCCTCCTGCTGCCGCCACGCTGCCGGAGCACGATTTCAGTTCTCATCCTGAAGCAAAGTTCTTAACCTGAAGCACTATTTCTGGGTTAGCGGAGTCTGTAACCTGAAGTGTATGTAACCTGAGGTACCACTGTACCTCTTCCCGTGTACTCTTCCTGTTAGGACACACCTTCCCCTTTCTCCCACTGCCCTCCCCAAATATGTTCCAGAGCGCTGGTGAAACCCCAGAACAGATTTAGGGTGTACACTGTGGAAGGAGGTGGGAAGTGTAAGTCCTTGCACTCACATTATCACTTAGTGCCATAGTGGACAGAACCATCCAAGTCTTAAACCCTGGGGGACTTCCAGTCATTGAAGATCATACTGAGCCATATGGACTAATATTCAGGGTTAGTCCTACACCCTAATAGCAGTAACAAATAACTTTATGCTTGATGATTTGCTGCTTTTTCATGGCCACCCAAACCAAATCCCTGAGGCAGCCACCTGTGTGTTTCGCACCAGATCTTGGAGGCTTAGGTGACTGTCTTCTCCTAGCAACTTTGCCTCTTCCTTCCTCTTCTGTCTGGGCTTCAGAATAAGCATAGACATGGGATTTGGGGTGGGGGTGTACTTCTTAGGCCAAAATTGGATATAGATATAGATATAGATATAGATATAGATATAGATATAGATATAGATGATATAGATATATTTAACAAAGATTCATTAAAAGCTAGGTGTAAAATCCAAAGTGCCAAAGATCCTTTTCTTCCCTGAAAGAAAGGATCACCCTCCTCCTTTCTTGGCCTTCGAGCATGTTTCCTTTGCTCCTCTGGAGTTGAAATTGTCCTTGCATCACCATCAGCTGCAGTGTGTGGTATGTGTGTGTGTGACTTTTCTAAAGAGCTAATTTTACAACACTATTAAAAGGGCTCGTCATCTCCCCAGGCCATCCCTCATCTAGGAGGGGGAGGTGGCCCTTGATGCAAAGGGCTGCCAGTTTTCACACTGCTTCAGAGAGAGAGAGAGAGAGAGAGAGAGAGAGAGAGAGAGAGAGAGAGGGAGAGAGAGGGAGAGACTGAGACTATTTCTGAACTCGTTTTGACTTTGGTGCTATCAGCTGCAGTGTTCAGCAAAGCAAAGCCTCCCTCCCTCCGTGTGTGTGTGTGTGTGTGTGTGTGTGGGAGAGAGAGAGAGAGAGAGAGAGAGAGAGAGAGAGAGAGTGTAGAATAGCCACATCAATGGCTCCCAACAGGTTTTGCCACTGGGTTGTGTGATAACTTTTGCAGATAGCCTGTGTGCAACAACACACTGGGTTTTATCGAGTGCTATCCTTAATCAGTGTAGATCCATTGGTGTTTAGACATGTATAAGGTTTCGTCTATATTAGACATTTAAAGCAGTATCGTACCACTTTAAGCAGGCATAGCCATCCTCTGGAGAAGCCATGCCATCAGTGGGAGGGTTGGGAAGCAGAGCTCACTCCATCGGATCCACTGTAACAGGCCAGCTCTATCAGGCCTCCTTTCCCCTCAGCTATTATCTGGGGGCAGTCATTCCGTCTGACTACCTCAGAGGGAGAGATTTAGAAGCAAGGCTCAGCTTTGTCAGAGGCCTAACTTCACCAGACATCTTCTGCCCCTGAACTATGCCAGTTGGACATTATAGGAACAACTGTTTAGAAATTGGTCCCTCAGTTTTGGTTTTCCTCTTCCTTCCCTGTTCCTTTTCCTTTGTGTGCCATGTTTTTGTGGATTGTAAGCCTGTCTTGTTTTGATTACATGTATGCCATTCTGGGAGTCTTTTTGGCTGAAGAGCAGGGTACAAATGTGCTAAATGCACTACAATAAACAATGCCCTAAATATATAATAAATAGCTTTCCCCAAAGAATTCTGGAGCTGAGATAAGGGTGCTGAAAGACCCAGAGTGGTTGAACAGTCAACCCATCTTCATAGGGCAGTCTGGCCATTGCCATTTTGTGAAGAAACAGCTTTCAACTTCAGTTCCTAGAATACTTTGCAGGAAGTCATGACTGTTTAAAGTGAAATGATACTGCTTTGAATTAATAATGCAGATGGGGGCCTAACTGGTCTACTCTGAGTAGGATTAGTATTGACTACAACTTATAGTCATGCTCATTAACTTCAGCGAGTCTACTCTGAGTAGGATTAGCACTGGACTCAGCCCGCTGTGTCCCAAAGCATATGCCAAAAATGGAGTTTACACTACCACACCTCAGATGCTGCAAATCTATCTTGTTTTGGGGCTGCTGGAGCTGGGAAGTAAATGAGGTTGTTGGGGTTGTGGTTTTTTTTAAAGATCTACGCATCAAAGTGTGAGTGGATCTTTTACATTCATTCAGTCTGTTTTCCAGATGTAAATGCCATTTCTGACATTGCAATGTGTTGTTCTTTTTGCTTCAGCAGTTATACATGAAAACACATACAAAACAAACAAAACCAGAGTTGGTTGCTCTCACCAGAAATAAATCCTTCTCGACTCTTAGTGCAATCAAGAGGGTAGTCCCTCAACAAACAAACAAACAAACAACCCCTCGTCTATGTGGTCTCCAGTCTTGGTGAAGTGATGGTTGACTCTTTAATGGGCAGAAGTGGAAAACAAAATTTGGATGAATGAGTTGAAGTGGAAAAGGCGTGTTTGCCAAGAGAAGCGAGAGTTTCTCTGTTGCTGCTGTTCACTGTCTCTCCATACTTTCCAGTTGCCAGGTTAAGGAACATGATCCTGAGTGACTGGAGCCCAGCTTGACAGGAAACGCCTCCGTTTTCCCAAACTTTCATTCTCTGATGAAAGCAAGGTTGCAGCAGGGTTCAAGATGAAAGGGGAGAGTGAGGTGAAGGGTTCCAGAGGTAGCACAGCAGAGCTCTCTTCAGATCGTGGCCTTTGTGCATATTAAACAGTTTTTGGAATGCTTAGCTTCTGAGTTTGGCCCGTTACTGGACAGGCACAGAAAGCACTCAGTACCTAGGCAATGACCTTTCAAGACTGACAGCCCTCAGTTCTGGTTAGGGACAGGGATGGGCAAATCTGTCAGTTGCTCTCAGTTGCTTCTTTTCACATCCATGTGTGGTGTTTTTTTTTTAGAGTCTTCATGAAAATTCATCAGTGCAAATCTCTCAAAAAAGGCACATTTTTGCAAACAATTCCCCCCCAAATGTAATACTTTTCTCTCCATTATTTCCACCAATCATATGCATTTTATGTGCACCCTTTACTCTAGTATATACACATATACACATTACCTAGCTGGAGAATTGCACTGCAAAAGTCAGAGAAGTGAGAATGTTGAAGGACGGTTGCATTTTGGTTCACATATTATTTCAGAACGTGTGGCTTAGGTAGGTCTGTCTTTAAATGCAAACAGATTTGATTTTTTTCACCATTCCTCATTAGTGGGATGAATGAATTGCCCCCCATTCCACTGATTTATTGCACCCACAACGCGGGTGGCGCTGTGGGTAAAACCTCAGCGCCTAGGACTTGCCGATCGCATGGTCGGTGGTTCGAATCCCCGCGGTGGGGTGAGCTCCCGTCGTTCGGTCCCAGCTCCTGCCCACCTAGCAGTTCGAAAGCATCCTTAAGTGCAAGTAGATAAATAGGTACCGCTTTATAGCGGGAAGGTAAATGGCGTTCCGTGTGCTGCTCTGGTGCCGGCTTGCCAGAGCAACTTCGTCACGCTGGCCACGTGACCCGGAAGTGTCTGCGGACAGTGCTGGCTCCCGGCCTCTTAAGTGAGATGGGCGCACAACCCTAGAGTCTGTCAAGACTGGCCTGTACGGGCAGGGGTACCTTTACCTTTACCTTAAGTTCACTCTACTATATGTTCCATTTCTAAATGCCATTTTAACTGGAAGAATTTCTACAATTCATTCTGGAGCTGGAACATCCACCATCTGCAGCAGATTTCATTTATTTAATTTCATTTGATTCATTTGCATCTTTTATCTCAACCCCCCCCCAAAAAAAATCGCAAGTGGCACATGGGCATATTAACAAAACACTGCAGTATTAATGTGACTGTACATACAACTTCATTGTAATTCTTATTGCAAAGTGCTTTCCTTTTGAGCATCAGTAAAAACGCCACGCTAGAAGCTTCTTAATATGATGTATACTCTAGACCTGAGGCAAAATTTCTCAGAAGACACTTTCAGAGATTTTTTTCTCATCCCACGTGCAGGATTGTCCACAAGGGAATGTGGCCCTTCACAAAAAAAGAGAAAGGGTGCCTACCCCTTCAATATGTGTTACAGACTGAAGTGATACAATCCAGACAAGGAATGGCCACATTGGTGAAAATTAGGACAGAATTATGGGGCAGTGCAGAAAAATGTCAAGACAGCATGGAGCATCAATTCATGCCACCTTTGGGCATCCATCTGTTTGCATCTTAATGTTCACATGTAGACAAAGAACTGAAGCAGGTTGAGTTCTAACGTGTAAGGTTTAGATTCAATGATGTAGCACAAGGATGAGGAACCTCAGGTCTGGGGCCAAATGCAGCCTCCAGACCCCGCTGCCTGGCTCTTTGGATTTCCTTCAGACCAAATCTCCTCCCTAGCTATTCTCCCTCTCTCCAGGCTATACCCCTCCCAGGCCACACACATTCAACTGGCCAAGCTTTGTCCCCTCCCGAAGAGCTTTTGCCTGGCTAGAATGTGTTCTTCAAATCTGACCATGCCTCTTGCTTGCCTGGATTGAGAATAAAAAGGAATGGCCAAGTATGTGTAGAAACTAGTCTACTATACAAAGGTAAACTTGACATTAATTGCTGCACTGACTCATGCCTCAGGTCCCACCCACTGCTGGCTTGTGGCAGAAGGGAATATGTCCCTCTAACTTAAGGTTACCAGACGTCCCCGTTTCCTTTGGACAGGCCCTGGATTTACAAATCAGTCCCCCGACAAAATAATAATAATAATAATAATAATAAATTTTATTTATATCCCGCCCTCCCCAGCCAAAGCCAGGCTCAGGGCGGCTAACAACAAATAAATAATCAAACAATTAAATAGTCCAACATTCTAAAACATTTCATTATAAAAATTAATTAAAATCAAATTAATGGCAACCGTTGAGCAAAGTTCTGTGTAGGTTGCCGGAGGTGGGAGTCAGGCTGGGCCCTGACCAAAGGCCTGGTGGAACAACTCTGTCTTGCAGGCCTTGCGGAAAGATGTCAGGTCCCGCAGGGCCCTAGTCTCTTGTGACAGAGCGTTCCACCAGATTGGAGCCGCAGCCGAGAAAGCCCTGGCTCTAGTTGAGGCCAGCCTAACCTCTCTGAGGCCTGGGACCTTCAGGATGTTTTTATTTGCAGACCGTAGGTTCCTCTGTGGGGCATACCAGGAGAGGCGGTCCCGTAGGTACGAGGGTCCTAGGCCGTATAGGGCTTTAAAGGTTAAAACCAGCACCTTAAACCTGATCCTGTACTCCACCGGGAGCCAGTGCAGCTGGTATAGTACCGGATGAATGTGATCTCGCAGCGAAGACCCCATAAGGAGTCTCGCCGCGGCATTCTGCACCCGCTGGAGTTTCTGGGTCAGTCTCAAGGGCAGCCCCACGTAGAGCGAGTTACAATAATCCAGTCTGGAGGTGACCGTCGCGTGGATCACAGTGGCTAGGTCAGGGCGAGAGAGATAAGGGGCCAACTGCTTAGCTTGGCGGAGATCCATCTATTTAGTAGAAAATCCATCTATTTAGTAGGAAGTTGAAAAGTGTCCCTGGATTCATTGAAAAAATCTGGTAACCTTACTCTAACTAAAAAAAAGTTTCCTACTCTCTCATCTAGCACATTTGATTCTTGAAACAAGAAGTCCCTGCAACTTGCCAACCCAGTGCAACAGACTTTTCAATGTGGAAGGCAAACAGCCTTAATTCTCTCTGAAATAATAAAAGGCATCTGTGATCTAAGTTGGAATTGTGCTCATTCCACAGGATGGGAAAACTGAGGTTGTGAGAGCTAGCAATTTGGCTCATAACCACCCTGTGCACTCATGGGTGGACATAGCAATATTTGAACCCTGGAACTTCAACATTTCCTAAGTCTGCTTTATCTAACCAGAGACTTTGGTGTGAGGTGTGAGGTATGAGGTGTGTTCTGCTGTTGTTTGATTAATATACCACCCTTCCTCCCAAAGGAGCCCAGGGTGTCAAACATGCAAGTGAGAAAACAATTAAAAGATGTAAAAACAATTCCAATACAGATTCAGATCAAAACATCAAAAAACAATTCCAATACAGATGCGGACTGGTAAAGATCTGGTTGACTTACACTTCTGCTATCCAAAATAATATATTTTTAAAAAATAGTGTTTGCTTATCCCAAAATAAATTATTTCTCATCCAGTGTTAAAAATAAGGATATTTATTCAAGACACTTTGCCCAGCTGTATGATTTACGTGTGTAAGTTTTTGATTCATTCACTCCCACCCTTATCTCCCTTCCTTCCTTTACTTACTATCTGTGTGTCCTTGATTCCCTCCTGACATATCTGTCCTGATAGGCAGAATTTCCATCTGTTTGATTTAGCTTGACAAGCAAACAGAGAGGACCCGATAACCATAATCTCTGTGCAGTTCAATCCACCTTTTACTATGTGAGTGTAGCCACCATCCTAGACTCCAGAGGAGTTAAGACAAGCTCTTTGCAGAGGGGAACAGGGCTTTTGACTGGTTGGTTGGTTGATTGTCTTGAAGCAACAATTCATGTGTTTCACTTCTCAGTGCTGACTCCAACTCCCATCAGCCCCAGTTGTCATGGTGGAACTTCTGGAAAGAAGGGAAGGGAAAATCTGTCAATTTTTATTTCTCTTTCTTACAGTTGCGAAGTTCAGTTTTCTACAGTTCCACATCAGTTTGTGATCCTCCTGCAGATTCATGAGCTAAATTTTAGTGAGAAATTCTACTACACACATTTTTATATGCAGTCTTGCCAAATATACACATATTTCCAAAATAATTTTGCCTAATATAATGCACTTTTCTGTGTTGTTTTCACTAATCTATATGCACACTTTTAGTACATGTATTTTGTACACATTAATTGCAATAACTCCCATGGTTATAGATGATGGGAGTTTGAGTCCAGCAGAGTGTGTGCGCAGGCCACAGGTCCTCTATGCCAGAGATGTGTACATCTCACATACTTCTCCACCTAAAAATGCCCGTTTCTCCAACACAACCTTTCTGGAGTTCTCTGTTCAAACGTTGCCCTGAACACACGTAGATGATAGGGAAACATAGGGAAACAGGAAGTAACTTTGTACTGAGTCAGTACCATTGGTCCTGCTAGCTCAGTATCAATCACACTGATTGGCATTGGCTCTCTGGGTTGTCAGGCCAGAGCTCTTTTGTAGCCCAACCTGAAGATTCCAGGGATTGAACCCGGGATCTTTTGTATGCAGTGTGGATGTTCTACCAAGCTTTTTACACATTGCCAACAAAGAGGAAAGGCATCACAGACAAAAAGAGGGTACCGTTTTGTGTGAAATTTTCATAAGCTAATGTATATGTATAGTGGCAACTTTAGAATAATGACAATAAACTGAACTAGAAATCTAGGATATCACACCACAGTGTGGAAGACTGTGACCAGTGTGCCTGCTGAGTCTGCTGTCCAGATGCTAACTGTGGATGGGCAACATCAAGGCCTCTGCGTCTCACGCTTCTTTACCTTTTGTCTGGACTTCCATGAGACAGCCTTTCAAACTGAAGTGCATCCTCTCGAGAATAGGACACTTGGCTAGCTTTGCCTGCGGAAAGGTGATCAGCATTTCCACTTTTAGATTAGTCTAACAAGCTGGCTTGGCCTCCAGGGTTTTGTAGGGCCGGGTCTGTGGCAATGGGCTTGTGGAATCAGCTGACAATGCAAAAGCTTGAGGCTGTGTGCCAGCTGACTTCTTTTGTCCTGCAGCTGCAGTCCTAGGATTTATATGGCCTCGTCTGCCTGATCTTCTGGGGCCCCAGTATGTTGGTGGCACAGAAGGCAAGATTCCAAAGACTGATTGAGACACAATCTGGCACAGTATCCACAGATTCTCAACCCATTCATCCCCTGTTTTGGGGGAACAGTTATATCAAGGATAGCAACTGCTGTGCTTTGCAAAAAAATGTCAAGCTTTTCTGCTCTCGGTGGGTTTTTCAGGCAGTTCACCATGGGTGGGGTCAGATCCAGGCAGAGAGAAAGAGAGAACAGGCCCCAAGGAGAATGTTTTGGCCTTGAAATGTCCCAACATAAAGTGGGGCCTTGAAATGTACATATTTTTGGCAATCTATAGTATCCTATAATGCACACCAAGGGCCTAGCTCTGCTCTCAATTACTCTGGATTTATAGGGAGTAGGGGGGAGGGATGAACCCATGGAACAAAGGTTAGTGGCGCTTCCCTGATGCGTGTGCGTGCGTAACTGTAAACTGAAATAGGCTCGAGATTTATGGGGATCGCCAGGGGAAATCAGTGTTGTGTGGAGGAGCGCCCTTGTCAGTCGGGCCGGGACCTCTGTTTGCTGTGGAGAATGATTTAATTTGGGTGTGTTGTGCTTTCAGCGGCTGGAAGCGGGAAACGCTTCTCCAAGATGGGCCTGTTTGCTTTTATACCTTCACCTATCGTATTCCTATTGGGCTTGTAAAAAAACAAAAATATACCCCTCCCCACCACACACAAAAAGACCAGGCAACGGACAAGTTATACAGTGAGTCCTTTGTGTGTCTGTGAGGAGAAACACACATGTGAAGCTTTTGCTCTAAGCTTGCTTTCTAACTCTGTTCTAAATTGCAGTCTCCAGGATTATTATCTCCGCTCCCACTTACAAACATGTACCACAGGGGAAATCCAGAAGGAAAGATGATGGTTAACAAAATGAAAATCACCACCCCTCTCCTTCTCTGGGTTTTTCAGTCAGTGGCTCTACAGGGTATTTCCAATAGTGCACCCATTCCCCCCAAGATTTCTCAGATGAAAACAGGGACATCCTATTCCATAATAATACAGGGTGATTCATAATGAAGTATACAGTTTTCATTTATAGCGAATGGAAACTGTATACTTCATTATGAATCACTATATATATATATATATATATATATATATATATATATCTCCATACTCTCCAACATTTCTCTGATGAAAATAGGGGCATATTAAAAGCAGGACATTCTGTAATCAAATCAGAAACCAGGATGGCGTCTGCAAATCCAAGACTGTCCCTGGAAAATAGGGTCACTTGGAGGGTCTGTCCGCTTGTAGAAATCTGTTTGGCAGATCGTGACTATCTGCCTGTCTAAAGGTCTGTCTTGTGCATCTACCCTTCCATCATGTGGAAGGAGATTCTTAAGCATGTGCAGAAAATAGGGGGTGGGGGCTGACAACAACCCCCACCAAAGCTACCACTTAAAAATGATTTGAAAATCCAAGATAAGGGGTGTTTAATGCAACATGGAATCTGTGTACAGAAATATCTGACCTGTGCACTTGTACAGGAATTCACATATAATGTGTAAGCCTTGTTCAGATGTTACACTGAACACTGGCACAAGCTCTCTCTACACATGTGCAAGGGAACACTTGTTGATTTGTGTAGCTCAATTGTTGTGTTCACAATCTATACACCAATTGAATATTACATGAAACTGAACTAGTGAGCAGTGATTTATGTACATAGATTATATACTCATTTAATGTAATGTGTGAACCCTCCTAACAGTTGGCTGTACAGATGAATAAGTGTGCAGGCATTCAAACTTGTACGTGTGTAGAGACAACTTGTACCTGTGTTGAGTTTAACATGAACAACTGTCCAGATATCTCACCCCAAGTATTGGAGATAGATGAATCAGCCCATTTCTATTTGGGGTTAGTTTCACATGTACTCAATCATAGATCTGTTCCAATGCATTTTTGTAGGGTTTTAAAATTCACATTTAAATTGTACACACTTTCCCCTAACGTATGCCTTCAGTATACACAATATACTTTGTATGCCTTTCCCCCCATTAAATACATGGGGTTGCATCCAACTAAGTTCTGCACAGAGTAGACCCACAAAAACTATTGGATCCAACTTAATCATGCCAATTAATTTCAGTAGCACTTGGTTGGAAAAGACCCATATTTTATACACATTTTAAAAATCAAACCTTAATTGCACTTGAGTAATCCAGTTGAAAGATGTGTTCTAATTAGCATGCAAGTCTGTGACCAGCAAATTAGGTAGGTTGGCTTTAAAATGTGGACTGAACTTAGATATACAATACTCTGATAGGGGAGGCCTGTGATCTGTCATCTGGGCAGCCCAGAACCTCCATACACATTTCTCAGGTTTATGTCCCCAGAAGGTCACTTTGGTGCTACTAATACACTGGTTTGACTTCACCCCAAGAGTTGCACTCCATTGTTGCTTGAGACAGATGGATGCCAACAAAACTCCTTAGTGTCAGGCTCACAGATTCACAATGGAAAGCTATTTGGACTGAGTTACGCTTAGAGTCCACCTCTGTGAATATACGCAAAGCAGATTTAAAACTATTTCATAGGTGGCATTTCTGCCACCTCTCCTTTGTGTTGGAGAAGCTGTCCTATGAAAGGCAGCCTGTATCATTTATGGTGATCCTGCGAAAAAGCTTTTAATTTCTGGAGAGCAGTTTTTGCTACTGTAAGCAAGATTATGTAACAGTCTGTGGTATCTGACTCCACTCTAGCACTCTTCTATATCTTCAGAGAGGGAATGCGTGACTTCATAAAGATTTGGTTCTAAAACTGTTGCTGGCTGCTAAGCTCAAAGTAGCCTCCAACTGGAAAGATCCCATAAATCTCTCCATAAACGCATGGCATGCTAGGATCTGGTAATTAGTTTTAGATGAAAAGCCGACTCAGCGATTTAGAGAAACTTGGGGTGAAATTAAAACTGACAAATTTGCATCAATATGGTTTCAGTCACTAATATATGCAAACGCAAAAGACAAAAACTTTCACTCACCTGTCTCCCAATTTTCTTTTTGGCACGATCCTTTTACCCCAAACCAATAACTGCAATAGCACATGCCTTTCAACAGTCAGATCTCTATGTATTTCCTGATTTGGCATATTCTTCCTTAACTGTTTTACATTTGTTCTATTACATTGTTATTTTTTGAAAAATTCAATAAAAATCCATTTTAAAAATGTGGGCAGAACAAATTCCTCCACAATTCCAACCAGGGACAGAGCCGATTTTTCTAGTTGCTACTATATCACTTTTGGGGACATGATAAAGATGCTTTAAAAAATGTCCAGAAACATTGTGCTAGAGATGCAGCTTTTCTAGTTCCATAGTTGGATGGGACCCCAAAGAATCATCTAGTCCAACCCCTGCACTTGAAAGGAGTGGCAAAGATCAGCAGCTTACCTAATGGGCAGCTAGAATTAAGAAGTTTAACCTTGATTCAATAATAAAATCATGTAAAGGTAAAGGGACCCCTGACCATTAGATCCAGTCGTGGCCGACTCTGGGGTTGGGGTGCTCATCTTGCTCTATAGGCCGAGGGAGCTGGCATACAGCTTCCGGGTCATGTGGCCAGCATGACTAAGCCGCTTCTGGCGAACCAGAGCAGCCCACGGAAACGCCGTTTACCTTCCTGCCAGAGCGGTACCTATTTATCTACTTGCACTTTGACGTGCTTTCGTTCTGCTAGGTTGGCAGGAGCAGGGACCGAGCAATGGGAGCTCACCCCGTCGCGGGGATTCGAACTGCCGACCTTCTGATCGGCAAGTCCTAGGCTCTGTGGTTTAACCCACAGCGCCACCCGCATCCCCAATAAAATCATATAGCATCCAGCAAAATGCACTATAATTGCTACAATGGACACAAAAATATAAAGTGGTCCACCAAGACCCTAAACAATTTTCAAGTGTAAACCACTTGTGGAGGGAGGGAGGACACTGAGCTGGGGCATTCCATGTTGCCTCAGCGTTATAGTTTCCAAACTGTGCTGTAAGGAACTTGGACTTTCTTTGGAATATTAGCTGTGGTAGGGCTGTAGCTGCTGGAGCCCACAGAGTGCCCAGAGCTGCTCCTCTACCTTGTTTGTGGACAATTTTTTTATGACCTCCCAAAAAATGTTCTTTGATTAAAAGCTCAACAACTTTTGGTGAGCCACTGATCAGATCTTCACTTCATGAAATATGGCAACCCGACTTCTCATTCCCAGCCTGTTATGCGAATCTATAGGTTCTTCTTTGCCCCTTGTTTTCATTTACTAGCCTCTCACCCTGGTGTTCATTTGTCATTGGTCCTTCTTTTGCCGTCTCAGAAGATCATACAGGAAAAAAGAGGGGGATATTTTGTGGGAAGGCACATTTGTAAAGAAAAGAAAAGACCAAAACCCTGCAGAGCTACCCTAATATTATTCTGAAAAAGCCACTTTTAATAGCAAACATTGTTTGCATTTTCACTACCCTTGCCCAAACCAGCCATGTCCCATAGCAACACAGCCACAACTCCCGACGTACACCCAGCTCAGTTGCTCTGGTTTCCTTTCCATGCTACACTGCATAAGATTGCAGCGCATACCTAAGAAAACTCAAAGCTGCCTTATGTTGAGTCAGAGAGGGGTCTTCCCCAGTCCTGCTGAGAGTCTTTAACGAGAGACTGAAACTGTCTCATGATATTTATTTAAATATTTATTAGAAAATATAAGCAAGGTGGTGTGCAACTAGGAATGCAAGACGGAATTGTTTTGCATTCTGCCCTGCGTTCATCTCATTCATGTCATGTATATAAAAATAAATTTTGATGATATGTGAAGGAGCAGAGTAGCTTACAGCTAGGGAGCTAAGTAACTCTTCTAGGTGATTGATAGCTTCTTTGTAAAGACTATACGTACAATGTCCAGACTCTTTATATTCAGAAGAACTTTACTTTCATAAACATATAACTGATAATAATATATTTACATTCAAACATGGGTACGTTCTCACTTGAATTGTAGATGGAAGACTTCTTCCTTAGACTTATAAATAAAAGCTGTGGTGAGACTTGCACCAGAGTTTTACCTCACTCAGGCCTTACAGCTTCTTATAAGAGGTTTTTACTTTCGCCTCAGCAGTATTTTCTCTGTTCCTTACAGAGAGCTCCTGCACAGGTTTTTCCCAATTAATGTTTAGGGATCTTCCTCTGTATGTTTCACTTCAGACAGATCACACTGACACAACACTGCCCTCAGCAGTATCCAGAGAAGCCTCTCAGCAGCCATTCTCTCCCCCCCCCTCCACACACAGAGAGAGGACAGAGAGCAATTAAAAACAACAGTTACTGGAATAACAGTCACAACAGAATGAAATGCCTCTCTCATGTAACTCACAGTCAGATGAGAGCTACTACCAGAGGGGGGCGGATACATGTTCACATAAGTAAACATTCCCATTTTAGGAAATTAAATAATTATCCTTAACAATTCATAGAATTGTTGAGTTGGAAGGGATCCCAAGGGTCATCTAGCTGAACCCCCTGCACTGCAGGGATCATAATTAATCATCTTAAAAACCCACAGTGAAGCTCTTACTGTCATAAAGTTCTTCATAATGCTTAATAGGAATCTCCTTTCTTGTCACTTGAATCTGTTGATTTGGGTCCTACCTTCTGGAGCAGGAGAAAACAAGGCTTGCTCCATCTTCCATGTCACAGCCCTTCAGTCGTTTGAAGATGGCTATCTTATTGCCTCTCAGTTTTCTATTCTCCAGGTTACTCAACACTGTTTCCTTTCGACTGCAATTCATCTAATGTCAAAAAAGAATGTCAGTCACTTTGCTGTCTGCTGTGACAAATTTAGGTCACTTACGTGATTAAATATGTAAGTTATGTAAATTACATTGTCATTATGCTATTCCATCCTATAATTACAATGCAAAGGAAACACAATGCACATGGGAGGGGGGCTGCAATCAATTACGTATCATTTGCAAAGTGAAAGCAAAAGTGAGTACCAATGGTATACACTGGCTTGATTTCCATTCTGGAAATGGGAGGAATAACCAAAAAAAGAAGGGAATTTCCACTTTTTGTTTGGAATTATCCACCATCCCCATGTGCATCATAAAACACACAATGCAACAATAACATAAATGGACAAAAAAATATAAACAACTGCCTGGGCAGTACAATTTTTAACAGGTGTCAAAAAGAAGGCAGAGTGACTCCTGCCCAACTTCTGTTGAAGGTGAGAGCAGTTCGATCTTCAAACGGATGATCTCAGAAGGTCATGGACGCTCCTTCACTGGTTGGTTTTAAATAATGGTTGGATGGGCATTTTCCAGGGGTTCTTTAGTTGAGTTTGCCCTCAACCAGCCAACATCTACCTGCCTACTCACTTGAATACAATCTATGGGTGGAGACTGGCTGTCAGCCTCCTGAGTCTCAGTATTGACTTTGCAGAACTTATCAGAGGGAAAGATGGGGACAAAATAAGAATTAGTTCTCGCTGCATATCATTGGCTCCAGCTCTGCCAATCATTTGCTCTGGTTCCTCCTACTGTTAGCCTCCTTTCCTTCCGCCCCACCAAGTCCCAGTGGGCATGAGCCTCCATTGTCTTTAACTCTTTCTTGATAAACTTAGTTTATCCTCAAGCAGGAAACAGTGGACTTTCTGGCCCATGCAACACATTTGATTACCCAGAAAAGCAAGCTTTGGACCACAGGGTGAGTGAGGAGCATCAGTTTAACTTTGGGAGTCAGGAATGGTCTGAAAAGTGTCCCCACCACTCTCAACAAACCCACACCTGCCTACTTTTTCTTACAGCTAGTCCTACCTGCCAGCTTCCTCCTGCTTAGACTCAGTGTTGCACTTTAGGAACTAAGGAAGAGAAAGGTGTAGACAAGGCTAGAATTGTCTTCACCTATCATTGTATTTGGTTCCTCCTACCATAGAGGAACTCAAGCACCACCTAGTATTGGCCCCCTGCCTAATGCTGTACCGGTTCCAAAGTGACCATGGAAAGTCCACTCACAACTGTTTTATATGGAGCTGCTGTTTTTTGTGTGGAAAAGGTGGGTCTTGAATGCACTTTCTATTGGAGGGGATTATTTAGGGCCATTGTCAATTGCAGTAACTCTTTTGCTCATAGGCCATAAGCTTCCCTGTGTGACCCTTGAGGCCACTTTACTGGTGTTAGCAATTATGCAGGTTGAATCTTTGCTTTGTTTACATTGACATTTTGAATTATTTAAGGGTCTCGTGGAAGAATGTGATGGGGAAGAAGGAAGGGAGGGAAATTGAGAGGCTAAGTTATACCACACACACACACACACACACACACACACACACACACACCACATACATATATACACATGCACACACACACAAACAAACCACAATGGGTTCAAAGTCATCCGAGGAAATCTCTACCGAACTTGGGAAAGTGTTTGGGTGGATCCTCCTCGACTTTATCCAATTGCATGGAACATGGGAATACTTAACCCAAATCTGTCTCTTTTAATTATTTTCCTCTGGACAGATAAAAGCTTTCTATAGGTTCCTGTAGAATATTTGCGCTTTCAAGCGTTCCGCCGTGACTTTGATACTAAGCGATTAAAGCATGTGAGGAGAAAGAACACAGCCCCAACCTTTAACTCCTTGTTCATGGGCCTCTGACTGCCGCTTTGATTGTTGACCTAAATTCCCCTTTCATAACTAAGTCCTGTCACCTTTGGTTGTATTTTTCCAGCAAAGTGGGCAGTGACAACTTTCCAAAGTTATGGGGATAGTCCATCCCCCACTCTAACTTTTTCTTCCCAAGAATGCCTCCCCACTAATCTCGCCTCTCCACAACGCTCTTTGTATTTCCATCACCGCCCCTCCTTTGGTTCACTCTTAAAGGGTGATCTCCTAGCACAGTAACAAAACCAATAACTTGATGAAAAGTTTTATCAAAGATGAGGATTGCACCTGAAGGTGAAACAACAACAACAACAACAACAAAAATTTTATTATTTATACCCTGTCCATCTGGCTGGGTTGCCCCAGCCATTCTGGGTGGCTTCCAACACATATAAAAACATAATAAAACATCAAACATTAAAAACTTCCTTATACAGTACTGCCTTCAGATGTCTTCTATAAGTTGTGTAGTTCTTTATTTCTTTGACATCTGATGGGAGGGCGTTCCACAGGGCAGGTGCCACTACCGAGAAGGCCTTCTGCCTGGTTCCCTGTAACCTCACTTCTCACAGTGAGGGAACCGCCAGAACGCCCTCTGAGTTGGACCTCAGTGTCCAGACTGAACAATGAGGGTGGAGATGCCATTTAGGGCTTCAAAAGTTAGCATCAACAATTTGAACTGTGCTCAGAAAAGTACTGAGAGCCAGTGTAGATCCTTTAAGGCCACTGTTATATGATCCCGGCATCTGCTCCCAGTCACCAGTCTAGCTGCCACATTCTGGATTAGTTATAGTTTCCGAATCACCTTCAAAGGTAGCCCCACATAAAGTGCACTGCAGTAGTCCAAGCAGGGGATAACTAGAGCATGTACTACACTGATGAGACAGTGCGCGGGCAAGTATGGTCCCAGCTAGCATACCAGATGGAGATAGTAGGCAGCCGCCCTGGACACAGAATTAACTTGCACCTCCATGGACAACTGTGAGTTCACAATACCTCCATGCTGCGCACCTGGTCTTTCAGATGTGCAGTTACCCCATTCAGGACCAGGGAGACCCCCATACTCACCTACCCCCTGTCCCTCAGAAACTGTACTTCTGTTTTCTCAGGATTCAACCTCAATCCGTTCACCATCCTCCCCCCTCCAAGTGCCTCCAGACACTCACACAAGATCTTCACCGCCTTCTGGTTCTGATTTAAAAGAGAGGTAGAGCTGGGTATCATCCACATAATGTTGAACACCCAGTCCAAACCCCCTGATGATCTCTCCCAGCGGCTTTATATAGATGTTGAAAAGCAGGGGGGAGAAGACGGAACCCCGAGGCACCCCACAAGTGAGAGCCCAGGGGTCTGAACACTCATCCCCCAACACCACTTTCTGGACACGGCCCAGGAGTAAGGTGTGGAACCATTGCATAACAGTGCCCCCAGCTCCCAACCCCCCAGATGGTCCAGAAGGGTACCATGGTTGATGGTATCAAAAGTCACTGAGAGATCCAGCAGAACCAGGAAACAACTTTCAACTCAGTCCCTAGCCCACCAGAGATCTACAACCAGTGCAACCAAGACAATTTCAGTCCCATGATAGGTCCTGAATCCTGACTGGAAGGTATCCAAATAGTCCACATCCTCAGGACATGCCTGGAGTTTTTCAGCAACCACCTGTCCAATTACTTTGCTCAACCCCAGTAATAGATTATTTGAGACTGGGCAATAATTGGCCATAATGGCCAGGTCTAAAGATTTTTTTAAAGCAGTTTAATAACTGCTTCTTTAAGGGGGTCCAGGAAGACTCGCTTACAGAGGGAAGCATTCACCACCCCAGAGAGCACATTGCCCAGCCCAACTTGGCTCACTTTTATGAGTCAGAATGGACAAGGATCAAGCAGACAGGTGGTCAGTTTCACTCATCCAAGCAGCCTATCCACATCCTCCGAGGTAACAGGTTAATACTGATCCCACACAACTTGACTAGACAGAGCTGTGGCACTCTCCTGCCCTAGCCCTACCATACCTCTTTCCAAATTTGATCGATTTTATCTGCAAAAAACTTTGCAAGGAGATCTTTGAATCCTTACCAGAACCTGATGGCAAAGGTGGTTCTGTTAGACTATGAACCACCTGAAAGAGTCTCCTGGTACTGTTTTCCACAGATGCCATAGAGGCAGTTTTTCGCCCTTGCTATAGCCACTTGGTAAACTTGACATTGAGCTCTATCCCATGTTCGGTCTGATTTGGAATGGGTTTTTCACCACTGGTGCTCTAGCCATAACAGTGATTGTTTCATCACCCTCAGCTCCAGGGGAAACCACTCTCAGCTCCAGGGGCCATCTGAGCTCCATGCAATCAGAGAGGATGCTTCAGAGCCAGATAGTTGATATCCCTGGTCAATGCCACATTCCAACGGGCTTCCAGGAAATCAGCTGAGAGGCCATCAACATGGGATAATGTATCCCCTACCATTTGGACCATTCAAATTAGTCCCAACTCCCTGCAGAGGGGAAGGGTTGCACAGAAGTCTAGTTGCACCAGGAAGTGATCTGACCATGGCACTTCTTTTGTTCCACTGGAACTTAGTGTCAGACCACCCATGTGCACAGAGGTAAACACCATGTCTAAGGCATGTCCACAGCTATGAGTAGGGCCAGGTTTATTCAGGGACAGCCCCATGCAGGCCATGCTTTTCACAAAGTCCCAAGCAGCCCCTTGTAAGGTTGTGTTGGCATCAATGTTAAAATCACCTAGGACCACCAGACTAGGTGTCTCTAGGAGAACATCCACCACGACCTGAAGCAGCTCGGGCAGGTAATCCTTGATGCAGATGGAAGTTCGGTACACCAGTGGGAATCCTGTACTGCCCCTAAAAGAAAGTTATACTAAGTACATGATCTAATAACATCAAAAAGAACCCATATATTTAGCTCAATTTATCTGTTTTAATATGTGTAGAAAACATATACATCATTATTCACAGAATGGTCTAACATATATATTTAAATTTTAAGTAGGGGGTGGGTTACATATAAATAACTGATGTCTCAGGATATAATTTTTTGATTTAAAAATATCATTAAACACCACAAGCAACAAATAAAACCACACAAAGTTTTTTCAGTTACAAGCATGTACAAAGCAAAACATAGTGCAGAAGCAAGAAAAGTATTCATCAATGTGATGTTGTAAACACTCCGCTCTCATGCATGTGAAGGTTCTTATCACAGGAATCCTGTGCCTCATGCTTTACTCCTCTTACGGGGACCTCGGGGCCTCTCTGCACAGGGGTTTGAGAGACTGGGGGTGGAGAGTTTGCTGTCCCTTATTTATGAAGGAATAGAACAGAAACCAAGCCTCCTTAGACCTATCCCTTTTTGAGACTCCCCTTATAACTCTCTTTCTCTCCAGAAAGTAATCTGAGAGAGTTGTGTCCCAAATATAATTAATCCAGGTCTCCATTTGAGGCTCTGATTTGGCTTTCCAGTGACAAACAACAGCCAGCTGCTGCTAACAACAACAAAAACTAAGTCCCTGTGTTTAATTCTTGAGTTTGGGTCACTTTCCAGCCATAATAGAGCTAAGGATAGGTTAGATATCAATTCCTGGCCTGTGATGGAAGAGATACAATTTCAGTGTGAATCACTTATATGATTAATAAATGGCCACCAGACAGTTTCAAAATCCTCAAGAGCAGCTTTACCTGTTTGTACCTTTAAATGATGTGCTAATTCCCACCCTACCCTCAATAAACGCTTTTTGCACCATGCCTCTCAAGTCAGATTATGTGCATCCTTCCGGTTGTGGGTGCTAACCAAAAATGCAATAATGAATCAGAGCCTTTGTGTGTAAATAACATGTTTGATCAGAAAATATGGAAAGAGGACACAACCCGGGAGTGGGACCTCAATCTCTGAAATAATACCAATTTCTCCTTGCCAAAGGTGTAGAGGAGGGGGCCATGGCCCAGGGTGCACATTTTGGGGGGGGCAATCAGGTGCCCCCATGACAGGCACGGAGCTCTGGCAGCTGAGGCGTGGCAGCAGACAGGTTGGTTTAGTGGTCAGGTGGATGGAGGCAGCGGGCAGAGAGCTTGTTGGAGGTGGGCTCTGTTCACCCACCATATGAGCTCTGCACACACACCCTTGGCATTCACCCCTACCCCAGCTGTCCAGTCCACTGGGGGGGGGGTGCAACACTTGCCCCATCCTGGGTTCCAGCAACCCATGCTATGCCACTGCTCCTTGGACCAGTTTCCGGAATTTCTGCTTCTTTAAGGTGGCTCCAATCCACCTTTTCAGCAGCCAAGACTGCTGCTGCTGCTGCAGCAAGAAGCATGTCGGGGTGCAGCTGCTGTCACAGGGCCTAATGAGGGGCCTCTTGAGGCTCAGGAGCTTAAATAAGCACAGGGGAAGCAATTAAATGGAATGTGAAAAGTGGCTTCGTGGAGTGTGAAAGAGGAGCAGACGGGCTGTAGCTCAGCAGCAGAGAATTTGCCTTGCATGCAGAAAGTCCCAAATTCAATTCCCTGGCATCTCAAGGCAAGGCTAGGAGAGCCTCTGCATGAAAACCTGGATGAAAAACCCCACCCACTGCAGTAAAGTGGGGCCACGCTGCGCTGCCAGCCTGGGCATGCACTGGGGAGCCTGGCTGGCCAACTGCTTTGAAGGGTGCGTTCACAGTGCCCAGCAAGCCCAGCACTGCTTTGTGAGATTTGCAAAAGCAGTGAGGGGCTGGCAGGCCAGATGCCTGTTGCGTCCTTCTCAAGCCACCCTCCAGTGGCCACATCCAGTGCTAGATTACCAAATAGGCAGAGTAGATACCGTCCTATGGGCCCCACATCTTTTAGGGGCCCTGCAAGAACAGGTCAAAATAATGGTGATTTGATCTTGAAAGAAAACAACAAAAATGTATTAGAGATAATTTTTGAGGTGTGTGTGCGAGATTTCAATTGCCTAGGAGCCCCACAGGGTTTAATCTCACACTGGCCAAGTTATCCCTAAATCCCTCATATCTCTCATTGAGATCCCTGGAGGTAGTCCTGGCACTAAGAAATCATAGCGCTGGAAGGGGCCCAATTATGGCTCTGATAGAACTTACGAAACTATGATTGTACTGCCTGGAAAGGACATGTGGAGCTGGGGGACCTGATCCTGTACCTAGCACTAAGCCTCAATAGATAGCGAGTAGCCGCACTTGTCTGGTCCTCCATTGCAGTTTGGTTTTGAGCTTATTCTCCCTTAGAGCCCATGGACCACAGAGCATATAATGCACCACTGCTACAGAGCAGCCCCACTGCCCTGCTTTACAGAGGTCTACCTAGTATATGAAGGGCTCTCCGGTCAATATAAAGGACACTAAGAAGGGAGAGAGCAATGCAGGGTGGGGGGTGTTCATCATTGAATTTCCTCAACAGTTAGCACCTGGGCAACTGACTTGAGTGAGCAAGCCAGGCAGCTGATTGCAGTTTTTCATCTAGTCCAACCCCGCTGCAATGCAGGAACCATGGGCTTTTGTGGTGGTTTTTTGTTTTGTTGGTTTGGTGATATGTTAAAAAGGTAAAGGTAAAGGTACCCCTGCCCGTACAGGCCAGTCTTGACAGGCTCTAGGGTTGTGCGCTCATCTCACTCTAGAGGCCGGGAGCCAGCGCTGTCTGCAGACACTTCCGGGTCACCTGGAGTCAAGAAGGACACTGACAAACTGGAACGTGTCCAGAGGAGGGCAACCAAAATGGTCAAAGGCCTGGAAACGATGCCTTATGAGGAACGGCTATGGGAGCTGGGCATGTTTAGCCTGGAGAAGAGGAGGTTAAGGGTGATATGATAGCCATGTTCAAATATATAAAAGGATGTCACATAGAGGAGGGAGAAAGGTTGTTTTCTGCTGCTCCAGAGAAGCGGACACGGAGCAATGGATCCAAACTACAAGAAAGAAGATTCCACCTAAACATTAGGAAGAACTTCCTGACAGTAAGAGCTGTTCGACAGTGGAATTTGCTGCCAAGGAGTGTGGTGGAGTCTCCTTCTTTGGAGGTCTTTAAGCAGAGGCTTGACAACCATATGTCAGGAGTGCTCTGATGGTGTTTCCTGCTTGGCAGGGGGTTGGACTCGATGGCCCTTGTGGTCTCTTCCAACTCTATGATTCTATGATTCTATTCTATGATTCTACGTGGCCAGCGTGACGAAGCTGCTCTGGTGAACCGGCACCAGAGCAGCACACGTTTACCTTCCTGCCGGAGCGGTACCTATTTATCTACTTGCACTTAATGGTGCTTTCGAACTGCTAGGTGGGCAGGAGCTGGGACCGAACGACGGGAGCTCACCCCGCCGCGGGGATTCGAACCGCCGACCATGCGATCGGCAAGTCCTAGGCGCTGAGGTTTTACCCACAGCGCCACCCGCGTCCCTCTTTTCAACATTTTGGTGATATGTTATGTTACCCTAAAAGTACATTGGGAAATGCCCCTGAGTGGTAAGAATGGAAGCAGTGGGCTCAGGTCTCCTTCCTGGTATGCCCCTTTTATACTTCTCTACCCACCCCAGGCTTGAACATGACTGGGGATGATGAGATCTCTTCTTCCCCCTCCTCTTTCTTACCTCCCCCACTTTATGTTGCACATTTTTTGTTATCTAGTGTGGAAAACAAATTATGAGATCAATACCAGCACCCCAAATGCACACACAAACCCACACACCACCACCACCACTGGGTTGATCTTGGGCTAATTTTGGCCCTTTGAAACTGGAAATTAAAAACCACAAAATTCTTCTAGAACATAATCCAAAGGATCTACAAGTTGTGAAGCTGGTGGAAAAGAAATTCAATTCAGTTCACATGCAAAGGCAAACCTACCTCATTCATACTTTCTGGAACAATACATGAACCACAATGCGGCCAGCCTTTGAAATTTGCACTGCTCTGAATTTTGGAATGCAGTTTTCCAGCCCAGCAATGTGTACAAAAATGCATATGCTAGATTAAAGTGTGCTGTGCGTACACATTCATACAGCAACATATCAACATAAAAACAACAACATAAAAATGTCTAATAAGTTTGGGGAAATTGCCTATTAAGATAAATTTGGACTAAAATGCTGATAAATTTCCATGAGGATTTTTTTTTTTTTTTAATGGCAAACTAATGTGGAAATGTAAAGAACAGAACTTAAGTCTGTAAGGAAAGATGGAGTCTGAGAGAAACTGAAATTGTCAGCGAGAAGGCAACTGGTGTATGTCGAACCCTGCAGTTTTTTCATTTTTGTAGCTTCAGTAACCTTCCCATGCCTGATACACACTATGGGTTATATTCAGTGTCAGTTCTACTCAGAGGAGACCCACAGAAAGTAATGTACATTACTAACTTAGGGCCATTCATTTAAAGTAGTCTTCTCTGAGTCAAAATTAATTCAACTCTATCGAAATTAATGGGTTGTATACTGCCAAGTTCAACTCAGAGTATAACAATTTAAATGAGTGCACCTAAGTTAGCAATGTCCATCAGTGTCAGTGATCTACTCTGAGTAGGACTAAATTGGATACAGCCCATCAGTTTCAGTGGGCTGTATCCAACTACTCAGAGTAGACCCATTAAAAATAATGGAACTAAGTTAGCCTTGTTCATTATTTGCAGTGGGTGTACTCCGAGTCGGATACAGTGGATTGGATAACATTTTGGAATATATGCAGGTATGCATTTTTAAAAAAGTAATAAAATAGCAATCCAAAGAGTCTACCCCAGGGGTCAGCAAACTTTTTCAGCAGGGGGCCAGTCCACTGTCCCTCAGACCTTGTGGGGGGCTGGACTATATTTTGAAGGGGGTGGGTGAATGATGCAAGAGCACCACCAGCCCCGGTGGCTGCTTACCTGTGCCTTGCGAGCAGCAGGGGCTGGCAGCGGCAGCAGAGGGATGATGAGCGGTGCGCAAAAGGGCTCTGGAGAGGGGCTGCTTAAAATGGCGGCCACTCGAGCGCTGCTGCTGCTGGCACCGACAAAGCCCAGCCCCCTTCCTCCTCTAGGCAGGGCAGGGAGAAGCCCAGAGGAGGGAGGGAGCAGGCGCTGCCACCACTGCCGCCGTGTGAGGGAGAGGGAAAGAACGTGCACGCTGGCAATCCACGCGACAATTCCCAGACTATCCATGGGCCCGATCCAGAAGGCAATTGGGCCTGATCCGGCCCATGGACCTTAGTTTGCCTATCCATGATCTGCTACTTTGAATAGGACCAGTATTGGATACAAGCCTTAGCTTTAATTCAGATACCAGGACAAAGCCGCTTATCTGTCTCCCCTCCCCTCCTTGCACCATACTGATGACCAGCAGTCACAGTGTTCAGCTCCAATCTGGTCTTGAGTTGTGATTTAGCTTTGTTGTTTGTTAAAGTGTATGCACTTGACAGAGGAATAAGTACACTACCTAGCTGGCACCTCCCTTGCAAAGGCAAGAAGGGAAGGGACAAGAAAGAGCCCCTAGCAAAAATAACACTTCACAGAGCTGGTCTGGGAATGGGGGGGAGGGAGGAATTACTCTTCTGATAACCTTTGCTCAGCTGATGGTCTCCGAGTCCACAATTGTTGATAGAGAGGGATTGAGTGATTATGCTGAGAACACAAAGGGGCAGTGGGCTTCAGTTAAGGGAAGGATAGGGTGCAGAGGTGAGGGCTTAGTTGAGGGTGGGAGAGGGGTGGAAGAAGGAGAGCATGAGCCAGTTTAAGAAGAACCCTGCAGGATTAATCCAAAGACCCATCTAATCCAGTATCCTGTTCTCACAGTGGCCAACTCAGTCTCCTATGAAAAGCCTGCACCAGGACCTGAATGCAATCACCCTTTCTTTGCTTTTGTTCCCCATTCAACTGTTATTCAGAAGGACATTGACTCTGATTCTGGAGGTTAGATACAGTCATAATGGCTTGTAGCTGCCAAGAGACATAGCCATTAATTTGTAAATGTGGCACTAGTCTACCTTACACTGCCTTTTGAAGCAGAGAATCTGTCTGTCTGGTGGGGAGAATGAAGGGTAAGCTGTGCACTTTCAGTTTGTATCTATGCACATGGGTTTGCATATGATATCCATAGGGTTGCCATATTTCAAAAAGTGAAAATCCAGACATTTAAGAAATTTCCACCTGGACACTCCATCTGACTGCCATATTCCGGCTATGTTCAGGAAATTCTGGACATATGACAACCCTAATATCCATGTCTTGTGGCTTTCTAGCAGATGTGTGCATTGATATTTTGATTTGCTTGCCAGGCATTATCTGGAGCCAACAACTCCATCCACTTTCCTCTCATTCATTTGTACACTAGGAACTTAGGAACCCCTCTTATACTGAGTCACACCATTGGTTCAACTAGCTTCATATTGCCTATACTGACTGGCAGAGACTTTCCAGGATTTCAAGCAAGGAGCACCTCCCAGTCTTACCTGGGGATGCTAGGGATTGAAACTGGGGCTTTGACATGCTCTAACCCCTGAACCACAGTCCCTTCTCTCTTGCATTTGGTTGCTCTGTAGCTGGTATTCATTGACATGCTTCTTCTGATACTAGAGGTAATATATGACTATTATAACTAGAAGGCCACTAAGAGTTTTATCCTCCGTGAGTTTGCCTAATATGGTTTTGAGATTTGGGTGGATTGGTGCAGAAATCCCATCTACCTTGAGTTGGTGTGCCCTCTGTAAGACATTTACACCAATTCCTTCCAAAATTGTACTGCACCAGCTGTTTATTGTGAAAAGAAACCCCAGATTTTCTTTCTGTTGCTATCTGATTACTTCTGATGCAATGTGGTTTCATCTGTTAAAGGAACTTAGATAAGCATACTTCTGTGGTACAGCCTTTTTTTTTAAGGTTTAGCAACCATGGACTGTTCCTTCTCAATCCGCCCCCCCTCCATGAACTCAGGGGATTTTAATTTTGTGTGGGTGCTAAGAATTAACAAATGCATGTGTTTTGTGAGGATTTGGTCCAAACTAGTGACGTCAAGCTTACAGTTCAAGTGAAGTTAATGAGATTTCTTACTGTAATTTCACCACTAAGCAATTGCAAAGGATTTCTGGCCCCTAGACAAAGAATTGGGTGTCCCATTTACGTCATATGCCTCTAGAAGTTCTTGACCTTTTGCTGCAATATTGAAATGATTTCTCCCATTTATGGTCACGTGTTCACAAAAGGGTTCAGTGCTCCTTGTCTTCATGCCAACCGGTTTATTGTGAAAATTGCTGTCTTTTGTAGATCGATGTAAATTTTGTAAATTTTGTGCTGTCATCACTCATATTTACTTCTGTTTATCTCTCTCCTCTCTCTCTCTTTTTATGGGGGGCACTTAGGACTATATGACAAATGTTCTTACACCACCCGTGACCGAGGATGGGTCCTGGGGATTAACACCATCAGTGACCAGGGGAATAGAGAACCCCGCTTTTTCTTTTCCTTGAAGACGGACCGTGCCCGGAAGGTTACCACCATCACAGATCATCGTAACTACCTCGCAAACCAGTGGGTTCACCTAGCTGTCACTTACGATGGACGCCTGATGAAACTCTATGTGAACGGTGCTCAAGTGGCTACCAGTGGGGAGCAGGTAGGGAACATCTTTAGCCCTTTGACCTTGAAATGCAAAGTTCTCATGCTTGGTGGGAATGCCCTGAATCAGAATTACCGAGGCTACGTAGAACATTTCAGCCTTTGGAGAACAGCCCGGTGTCAGAAGGAGATTCTGTCTGACATGGCCATGGTGACTCATGAAGCAGATGCTCCTCTACCTCAGCTCGTTTTTCAGGAGACTTTACTGAATGTGAAAAGCATCTGGTCTCCGATGAAAGACAGCCCTAGTCTTCCTCAGATCGAATTCACTTCCCACCCTGGCTACCTGCTCGATACAAGCCTTGATCCTCCACTATGTGGGCAAACTGTGTGTGACAACAAAGAGGTCATTGCCAGCTACAACAAGCTCCCAAACTTCCGTCACAAAAAGGTAGTCCGCTACCGAGTGGTGAATATCTATGATGACCACCATCACAACCCAACTGTTAGCCGTGAACAGATAGAATTTCAACACCAGCAACTGAATGATGCCTTCAGCCCTTACAACATCACATGGGAACTGGAGGTGCTGGAAGTAAAGAACTCTTCCCTCCGGCATCGCCTGATCCTGGCCAACTGTGAAATTAGCAAGATTGGAGATGACAGTTGTGACCCTGAGTGCAACCATACCTTAACCGGGTACGATGGAGGGGACTGCCGGCACATGCGACACTCGTCATTCAACAAGAAGAAGCAGAATGGTGTGTGCGACATGGATTGTAACTTTGAGAGGTACAGCTTTGATGGTGGGGATTGCTGTAACCCAGAGATAACTGATGTCACCAAGACATGCTTTGATCCAGACTCTCCTCACAGGTAGGCACACTGCTGAGCATATAAGGTCCTTCTAATCATACCAGGCCTGCCTATGTTCCCCTCATTCATATTCCCCTCACCCCAACACCTCTTCCCATGCCCACAACAATTCATATTGATTTAATGATCCTCTTTTAAACTGACTCATAATGAATCAAGTTTTAGAATGCACAAGGAAATGCATTTTGTGTTCCTAGCTCTCATTATCAGTCCGTTTAGTTGGGTTGGGTTGGGGTGATGAGCAGCTCAGAGGGCTGTTTTGCACACACTTGAAAACTTCCTTAAAGTTTCTTGGGAACTGGTGTACAAACCTGACATCTTCATCTGCCCATGATGGGGCCCTTAGAGTGGAGGAGATATATCTTGGCACAAATTAGAAGGGGCTTGGAGGTGGGGGCACAGATCTAAGGAGGTTTGGTTGAGGCAAGCCTGGGTTTATAATGAGTTTAAAAACTGAGGGTGAATTGTAGGTTTTGCTTTAGGACATGTATATAAACTTATTTCCCTGTACAGTCATATCTTGGGTTAAAGTCGCTTCAGGTTGAGCGTTTTCAGGTTACGCTCCGCGGCGACCCAGAAGTAACGGAACGCATTACTTCCGGGTTTCATCGCTCACACATGCGCAGATGCTCAAAATGACATCATGTGCAGAAGCAGCAAGTTGCGACCCCCGCATGCGCAGACGCTGGTTTGTTCTACTCAGGATGCAAATGAGGCTCTGGAACGGATCCCATTTGCATCCAGAGGTACCACTGTATTTGTGTGGGATTTTGTATGACTTGTATAAGTGGGGTCAGCTGCTCTAGAAGCAGTTCTTTTTGACGGGGGCCATGGTGGACACTGCCAGAGGTGGTTCTGGGATGGGAGCAGTCAAGCGGTGTGGTCCTCTCTGTCTTGCCTCTCTCAGCCCAGTGGAAGTGCTGCTGATATAGGCAGGTTGGGGAAGGGAGGAAGCGTTCAGTAATGAGTCCCAGCTGAGGCTATGGGGTGGGCCTCACCATCTCACCTCTTTCTGATACAGCTGGCTGGAAAGCCACTTATTTGCAGGGGAGGCCTCTAATTGAGAGCGGTGCTTAATCAAGAAAACATGATGGTTTTTCTGCCTAGATTTAGAACCAGCAGGATTTTGAAAAATAACTCCATCCTTGAGTTAAGAGTCACTTGGCGCTGTTTTATTTCACCTGCTCTCTAATGCACACCCTTGTGCCTTGGCTAGAGGTATTCAATGAATATTATCTTCTTTGTGGACAGAACAGAATCGCTCCCCAGGGTGAGGGGATGTGTAACTTTTTATGAGTGTTTTATGCCAGCCATAAACTCAAACAGAATGTTAAAACATAAGCCATACAAAAGCTTTGACGAGCTTTCTCTTGCTCAGGAACAATCTCTCGGAAGAGTCATGTGAAGAGGGAGATTTGTATGAGGAGATGAATATGGAAAGGCTGTTTGTTTTCTTTGCAAGGCTTTGTCTTTAGCAATAACTGTCAGTTGGAAGTACACATGTATTTATTAGCCGATGTGAGCTTTAGCACAGCCTTGTAAATAAAGTCTTCAGAGAAGTTACTAGCCTGCAAAATGTTTTACTGGCCTGTGGAGGGCTGGAAGAGGATGGACAACAGGGGCTCTCCATTCATCTTCCAACTGTCTGCTGCCTTTCTTTTGCTGAGGACAGGAAAGGGGGAGAATTTGTTCCCTGATTGGCTTTTGTGCTGGACCCAAAGCAGTGATGGAGCAACCCATCTTTCCTCTGCCTTTTCACTTTCCATGTAGACCATGCAATTAACAAAAAAACAGAAGAAGGGCCTGCTGGATTAGAGCAAATAGCCCATCAAGTCCAGCATCCTGCAAACAGGATCCAAGCAAAAGAGAACTCTCCCCTCCTGTGGTTTCCAGTAACTGGTATCCAGATATTGTTGGAAGCCCAGGGTCCTATGAGACCCAGCCAGCATGGCCAATTGTCACTGATGATGGGAGTTGGAGTCCATTAACCTCTGGAGGGCTGCAACTTCAGGATGGAGTGGGGGAAAGAAACTGAAATTGACAGAAATGCTCATTCCTAATTGTAGTAGACCTGCAAAAGAAAAAGAAAAAAAAGAAAAGAAAAAAGTCTTGCAGGGCTTGCATGTACCCTACAGTTGGCATGATAAAATTTGGGCAAATTGTAAACTGAATCAAACTGTAACATGCAAGTTTAATGGGTTCTGATTTCCTCAGTGTGAACTTTTACCTCCTCTTTGATAGGTAAGTGGCATTTCCATCCCCCTTCTCAAGTTGGCAATTGTTTATGTTGTATGAGGAAGCTACAACCTGGGGACTGAATTGCAGCCCCCCAGGCTTCTCTACCTGGTCTTTGGGAACTCTCCCCAGGCCACCCACCTCACTGCCCCTGCTTTCCACCCTCCTTGAGTGTTTTTGCCTGGCTGGAATGTGTCCTCAAACTCTAATAATGTCTGGATGGTGGGTAGAGAGGGGTTTATACAGAAATTAGGCGACTGTACAAAGTGATGGTTTACATTCATTGTTCTGCCCACCCCTGGAATGTGACCCTTGCAAGGTCGCTCAGATGGAATGTGCCTCTCATGCTAAAGATAGGTTCCTCTGTTGTTTTGTTTTGATTCTGAGCCAGGAAGGTGCTTTACATCATGATGTCAGTCTTCAAGTCCGCCTTTCCCCATTTGCAGCTGTTAGCTTGAGCAGCCTGTGATTTTCGGCTACTAAGCAAGTGCTTGTGTTTTTTAATAGCCACACAAGGCAGCTATTAATAGATGGAGTTTACCAAAATATAGAACTGCCTAACACAGAAAAGGGAAACCTGAGGGATTAATGCCAGGAAAAATTCCATGCTGAATTCCTACCAAAAGATGTAGTAAAAATTAACTGCACAGAGGAAAGGGTGGAACCCGTTACTTGGACACTGATATGATTATTACTTTTTTAGTTGTTCTTTCACCCTCCCCCCCCCCCCACTGCATGTTAATGGTCTTGTTCTGCCCTAATCGGTGAGTCAGCTCCTTTTTAGAATAAAAATAAGGAAATGGTTGACAAAGAACCTGCTACAAAAATAGACTTTGGACAATTCAAGAGGTTTGTGAGGCAGCAAAAGGATTGTCCTAGAGAAATTGCAGGATCTCCTTCTGCAAGGAGTGTTCAGATTTAGGATTTTGTCCACAGTGAGGTGGCGGGGGGAGCTCCCAATCTTTTAGCCAAGTAGAGCCAACTACCTTGCAAGATGGTCTGTTCCACTGCTTTGCCATTAGGAAGATCCTCTGAACATTTAGCTAAAGTCTGCTTCTGTGAAGCTCATGCCCACTGGTACTAACTACTATTGCCCTCTGAAGCGACAGAACAGTCTTATCCATTTTCTCCACGAACACCCTTCAGATATACAGTGGATGCTCGGGTTGCGAACGTGATACGTGCGGGATGCACGTTTGCACCCACAGCGTTTGCAACCCGTGTCTGCACGTTTGTGCATGCGCGGGTTGCGATTTGGCGCTTTTGCACATGTGCAAAGCACGATTTAGTGCTTCTGCACATGTGCAACTGCCGAAACCCGGAAGTAACCTGTTCCAGTACTTCTGGGTTTCAGTGGTTCGTAACCCAAAAAAACGCAACATGAAGCAGCTGTAAGCTGAGGTATGACTGTATAGATAATCTCTCTATTGGACTACTGTATTGCACTCTATGTAGGGCTTCCCTTGGAAGTTGCAGCTGAAGTGAAATGCTGTGGTCAGGTTATTGAGTGGAACAGCTGGATGTGCACAAATTATACCTCTGCTGCATTGACCGCCAAACAGCCACTAGATCATGCTCAAAAGTGCACTGTTAACAGATAATCCAGGCAATCTGAAAGACCTCTTTCCCCTGCACAGACCTATTAAGTCACTTAGATCACCTGGGGAAATTCTGCTCATGGCATTGCACCCTACAGAAGATCATAGGACAGTGACTATAGAATGGGTATCTTTTGCTATTGTCCCTGTACTGTGGAATGCCATTCCCTCTGTCGTTTACAACCATTTACAAACAGATACCTTGTAAAGATTAATATTTTTGCCCAGGCTTTCACTGGTCCCTAAGATTGGACCCTGAGTTCATACCCTCCAACATTTCTCTAATGAAAATAGGGACATCCTATTCAATGATGATGATGGTGATTTTATTATTTATACCCTGTCAATCTGACTGGGTTTAACCAGCCACTCTGGGCGGCTTCCAACATATATAAAAACATAATAAAATATTAAACATTTTAAAAACTTCCCTGCACATGGCTGTTTTCAGATGTTACTTATCTTCTTGACTCAGGGGTCGCATAATTCCATACCCTCCAACAATTCTCCAATGAAAATAGGGACATCCTAAGGAAAAGTGGGACATTCTAGGACCAAATCAGAAACTGGAATGGCTTCTGTAAATCTGTGACTGTCCCTGAAAAATAGGGACCATTGGAAGGTGTGTGAATTGTGTGTATGAATCCCCTGAGTCTCTCTCTTATTTGCTTTTATTTTTGTATGCTCTTTTAATGACTTTAGGCTATAGTTTTGTTTTAATGGATATTGTTTTTATATTGCACATAGTGTGCACCACTTAGAGGTTTATAACACAACAACAACACACAAAGTGGTTTAGAACTGCTTTTAAACAAACAAACAAACAAAGGCAGCCATGAAAGCTGAGATAAAAATGCCTGTGCTCCAATCCTGGAATTAATTTGATAAATGGTCCTAGTGCCGAACAAGAATTTTGGAGGAGTGGAATTCACTGGAGAGGAAACACATGAAATGATCAAGGCACAGAATGAGAGAAACCCTCTTCTGCCGGTCCTCAAGTTCCAAAAGGATATAGAATGAGATGAGAGGGTAACTCTTAAAATAAGCCAAGCATTTACATTTGCAATCAAAATTATTCCACCCCATTGCAAATCAAGTTTATTCTCAAAATTTACAGGTTTTCTGCTGTTTGAAAGGAGCAAATCCAACCAAAGCAATGAAAATAGCTCCACACAATGGATGCTTCAAGTGGTTTCCTCAAATTCAGCTGTAAATGCAACTTATAGTAAGACTGGAAAAGCCTGGCGAAGTGGCATTTTCAACTGAATTTCACCTGATTTGCAACAGGGGCTGAATAATTTCAAATGCATCTATATTCCTTGCACCAAGATCCCCCTGGCTGTGTTCCTTTTGCACAATGAGGTTAAAGCAGCAGCAGGGTTTAGCATCTATGATATTGTCATTTATGTGACACTGATCACAACCAGCCAGAGTGTTTGGGAAAGAACTTGTTTTGCTGTAAAGGTCATAACTGGAGAGAGAAGCCTTTTGCACTGCATGCAGAAGTATCCAGGTTTAGTTGCTGGCATCTTCAGGAGGGTTGCTAGCCACCATGGCTTAGTTCTGCCTTCACTGTTGGAGATTGTATGCCTCTGAATCACCAGCTGCTGGGAATTGCCAGTTACAAGTGGGGAGAGCACTCACGTCCTGTGTGTAGGATTCCCATAGGATGTGGGGTGAGATATGCCATTGACAAGATGCAGCAGGGTTCTTCTCATGCTCTTATGACACCCTAGAGAGCTAGAGTATGTAGTAACATAGAACACAGGGAGCTGTAGTTCAGCAGCCTCTGGGGGGACATCAGGTCGGGGAAGGCTGAATAAACATGTGTTCATCACTCACAGACAACAGCACCATTTGTCATGGTCTATGTGTCATATCACTTGGACACAATGGTCTGGGTTGACACAGGAAGATGCCTTATACTAAGTCAAACCAATGTACCATTTAGCTCAATATTGTCTACACTGACTGGCAGTGGCTTTCCATGATTTCAGGCAGCAGTCTATCTGAACCTTATATGGAGGTGTGAAGGACTGAATGTTTGGCCTTCTGCATACAGAGCAGATGCTCTACCCCTCAGCTACAGCCTACTCCACAACAAAGTTGTTGTAAGGTTTTATTCTTTGTGACTTTTCAGTACCACTCATCCAACAAATCCTTAGGTGGTTTTCAAAACATTAAAATTCAGTGAAAGAAAAAATACATCCACAAATAAATTAAAACTATATGAATGCAATAATTACTACCACCAACATAAAATCAGAAGAAATAATTATTACACCAACACAAGAAACATCAAATCTACATAAAACCAGCAGCAGGAAAAGCTCTAAGTGCTGGAGAACTGAAATGCACTAAAAATTACAATTAAGACTCATGCCTAGCCCTACACAATGCCAAGGGATGAATCAAACATCTTACAGGTTGAGTCCCCCTGAATCCAATGCTGGGGATCCCTTTGAAGGGCCCTCCAGGTTGGCACCTGGTGATGAAAACTTGGAACCATCAGTCTCAAAAGCATTGGTGCCAAAATCTTCAGGTTCAGGTTGAAGAACAACAGACACTGTATGCATCTATGGACCCAGAGTTGCTGGTCTGCTCAGAATTAAGCAATCCCTTATACTTCACTGCCAGCAGCTATGGCTTGGATGTGCTTTTGAAGGGAAGCATCTATAAGGTCACCCTCCAGAGCCTCCAGGTACTGAAAACCACACAGGTCTCTGGCTCTTAATTGTACTGCCTTACCTAACTTTGTCTCTGGATTATGTTTCAACCTAGACCAATTGTCTGCACTTGAATTTGGCTTGTTTCAACTGGGCTGCATATGCAACCCTGCCTGCATCGGTGAGTTATAATGGTGAAGGGTTGTATCTTCTGTAATTGAGTCCTTAGCCCCTGCAGGCATCCATTGGAGCACCACAAAGACCTTGGAGTACAAGGTTCTCCCCTGGCACCCAAAGGATCACAATATCATACCCTCCAACATGTCCAGGCCCAAAACTGGGATGTGCTGCTGGGCGAGACATGTTACCCGCCCAGGACTATGGAGCCCCAAAGCATGCGTTTTTGCACTCTGCAATCTTGTGGAAGTTCATGATCTCACACGCTTTGGGGGACCATGCTCTTGTGCTTTTTTAGGTGCCATACTCTCATATGAGAGCACAAAAATGGGATGTCCCTTTTTAATTGGCACAGTTGAGGGGTATTTACTAGATACATCTTGTCATAGTGTCAAAATCAACATCGTGACATAATATATTAAAATGTAGCTTATTCAGTTGACCACCAAGTCCAGTATGCACAAAATACAAATCCTATTTTGTCAGTGCTGTAATACATTCATTTCTAATTTCTTCATCTTCTCTTGTATTTTTCTGTCTGACGTATTCCTTAGAAGAGTGACATGAAATAATCTTCTAAGTATCTAATGAAGATGATAAAGTTGGTAGACAAAAGAAACTGGCACTGGTAGATGCTGGCACAGGTCTGTTTCAACATCTACCAGTGCCAGTTTCTTTTGTCTCTATCATCTTCATTAGACACTTAGAAGATTATTACACTATGAGAAGCTGTATCTAATTTTTGAGAAGTAGTTTCTAGTAAATAACTCTGCAGTTGTTATCATACAGCCTGTTACGTTCACGTGTTTTTTCAATTGGATTTGCGTAATATAGGCATTCTGGTGGTTTTGTTTTTACAGTTGAGGGGTATGCAATATAAGCAGTAGACCTCCTCTCCCCTCAACTGTCACCTAGGGGCAGCCATTGCACCAGAGTCACTGGCAGAGCCAGGGCTCATTTCATCAGCTTTGCTGGAGCCCCAGCTCAACCAAGCACCTCCTGCCCCCAAACTGTGCCAGCTGGTCATTCTAGGAACAGAAATTGGTGTCGCAATTTTGATTTTCCTCTTCCTTCCCTGTTCCTTTTCCCTTGTGATTGTGTGCCTTGCGGATAAGGACTGTCTTGTTTTGATTGCAAGTAAGCTGCTCTGGGAGCCTTTCTGGTTGAACAGCAGGGTACGAATATACTAAACAAACAAACAAACAAACAAACAATAAAAAGGCAAGCCTTTGTAGGGAGGACATTCCATAACTGTGAGCTCCAACACCAAAGAGCCACTCTGTGGCAATAATTAATAAATGATACTTATTTAATAATATTTTATAAAAATAAATTGTAAGAGGGACTTTGGAAGGAAGGGTGTGATACGCATTTAATTGATAATAATAGATGATTAATAATAGATAATAACTGATAAATAATACTAATAAAGTAATAATAGTTACATGATATATCACATTTATCTAATTTAGTTACATATGCCAGTTTTTAAATTTTATCTGTATAGCATTAATATCTTTTTTATGTATACCCCTTAGATTTTTTAATTTATCTCAGCAGTTTATTTAAAAAAATTCTTAAATAAGTATTAAGTGCTGTGCAGGACACAGAAATTATCAGCTCTGTGTCTCAAAGGAACCTTCACTCTGTTGTTGCTGCCAGTTTAAAGTCTCCTTGCATTTAGCCTAAAAACTGCTTGTCTGTGAACCTGCCTCAAAATGTACACTGGATCTAGTAAATACAAATGTCGGGGAGCGGGAGTTTGTCAGAGCAATAAGGAGGAAAATGTTTTGCTTTTGCAAACTTGGCTTCTGTAAATCTCCTGATGCTGTTCCTTTTATCTTTTGTGACTTTTTCTCCTTGTTACAAAGATTGGGTGTGCAGACTCTGGAAAAACATCAGGGTGCCAAGGGAATATCAGGTGGAGATGAGGGCGGATAACAGGCAAATGAGTGCAATTCTCCTGAAGGCTCGGGTTGTTGAAGAGACTCGTGCAAAACTCACCAGCATGTGTTAGGGATAGGGGAGAAATTTGGTTCCATGTGCATTTAAAGGCAAACCTCTCACTTTTCATAGCAGTACAAGAACTGGAACAAAGCCATCCTTCTAAATTTACACCTCGTTGAATTTTGCGGTGCAGTTCTCCAGGCAAGCAAGGTGTACACAAATGCATATGCTAGTATAAAGGGTGCACAGAAATACATATATTCATAAAAAAATAACATGCAGAAGCGCATTATATTCAGCGAAATGGATTTGCAAAAATGTGGGTTTTAGGAGAAGTTTGCACTAGAAAGGGTGATGAATTTCCATGAGGACTTAAACAAAAACAAAAAATCACAAACTGATGTGGAAAGACGGAGAGCTGAGTTTTTGATTGGATAAATAAGAAACTGGGGAGGAATGAAGTTGACAGTATTACCCATCTCTAGCACACACACCCTCTCAGGGGTCTTCTCTTCATCATGCCCTCAATCAGTGCTTTTCAAACGAGAGTCAGAAAACAAGAAAGTTGAGGCCGTATGTACATACTTTGCAAGGTATTTCCATTGATCTGGAGCAACCACTGAAAAATATTCTTCCTTTAGTGCCTACCTATCTGCCTACAGACAGGCCCTCTGTGGCCAGTCTCAAAGCCCATAACTTATTTATACAATACAAAATTAATTGACTGGCAATCCAGGCCATGTGTGAATCCGAAGCCAAGAACTGGCAGTCAAGATCAAACGGCAGGACCTATGAACAAGCCAGGAGTCAGGACAGAAGACACATGGGAGCTCACATAGCCCTTGTTTGTCAAACAACAGTACAAAGCCCCCTTACAATCCTTTCTGCTCTGGAGGAGCCCATGGCCAGCCTGGATGGAGTTAGTCTGAAAGGGTATTCACTGAGAATCTATAGTGCCGTGGGGCAGTGGTTAGCAAGTCCTGCTACGTTATGAGCTGTGATAAGCAAATCCTACTTCCATAGTCAAAATTATGTGACAGTGGGGAGGGGGTGGGGCAACACCAGGGAAAGACCAGGCCTTGCTTGCTCACTCCTGGAAGCATCTGGTTTGCATTGTAGAAAACAGGATAGTGGACCTTAGTAAAAGATTAGCAGGACTGATCTTTTAAGTTCTTCCATTCATCCTATGAAGTATGCATGGTGCTCCACAACAATGGGTTGGCATTTGATAAGACCTGTTATTTATCCTTTCTCCTCATGCTGACTGCCTCACCTAATACCATTTTTTTAAAAAAGGTCAGCAGTAATCTGGATTTGAACTTGGTGTCATTGCATGTTTTCTTCTAGGGCCTCTGCCAAAAGAATGGATTTTTTAGTTGCTCAAATTTTGGGGCCAGGGGGGCAACATACTTTGGAGGGGGAGTTTATTTTGGGCTCTGGTTGTTCTCCAATAGCAGTGGCAAGCCAGAAACTCTTGTAAGCACTGCCATTTGGGCTGGGGGGTGGAGCATTGTTCTCTCCCCCAGCCCCTGAATCCAGCCACATGTAACACTGAGAGTCTTCTCCTACTGTCTTGTGATTTATCTTTTCTCTGTGTTTGCTTCTGTTCTTCAAACAAAAATGGACAATGGATTAAAAATGGATTAATGAAGGGTTGTTTGTTGAAAACAAGCAACCTAGAATTCCCACATAAATGTCTCAGCATGAAAGTTGAGCATTAAGCAACATGTATATGCAAATTGGTGATGGGTGGTGGAGTGGGTGGGATTTGGTTCAGTTTGCATTTAAAAGATAACCCTACCTAATTTACAACAATTTCTGGAACAGTATACAAAATGAAATTCTTTGAAATTCACACTTCACTGAATTTTGCACTGCCATACTCCAGCCAAACAAGGTGTGCAAAAGTGCATATGCTAGGGTAAAATTAAAATGCACACATTACTGAAAATAACACACAAGAGTGCATTATATAAGGAGGCATTGCTTTGGGGGGGAGTGTATACAAGGCAAGACTGCATACAAGAATGTGAATATTAGGAAAAATTCACACTAAAATGCTAATGACTCTTCATGAGGACATCTAAAAAAATTGCATACATGTGGAGAACGGAACTTAAGAAAGAATGGGAAAATGTAAAACAGAGAGAAACCAAAACTGGCAGATCTGCCTCTGCCACACGCACTCCTCCCCAGTAATGCTTGCGGTAAGCAGAAGCAGGGTTTTTTCTCAGCTGGAACTCACAGGAACTGAGTTTTGGCACCTCTCAGGTGGGCACCATTGCCATTATTAAGAGAACAAGGGAGATGTTCATGGTGAGTTCCGGCACCTCTTTTTCTAGAAAAATAGCGCTGGGCAGGAGTGTTTGAATTATGGCAGGGAAGTGGCCCTCCATATGTTGTTGGCACTATCCCACCAGCTCAGTCAGCCAGTCTCCACCTGCCTGCCTTCATACTTGCAAACAGTCCATGCAGTTTCCTTTGCTGTCAGCCTCCTCCTCCTCATTTCTCACTGTTGCCCTTGCAGAACTCAGCAGGTAGGCTGATGTTGGGCAGAAGCAGAATGCACTGGCTCTAGCGACACCCTTGCCTTCAGCCCTACCAGTCCCAAGAGCACTAAGCTTACAACTGCATCCCTAACTATGCTGGCTGGATTGTGATTTCTGACTCAGATTTACCAAGCTCACCAGGGTCCCTTGAGAGACCAACCGTCATCAAGCCTTTGGTCACTGTGGAGGGAGGCTGGAAACAAGCAATGACTAAACCAAATTCCATGTGATTGTTTTTGGATTTGCTTTGATAAAGCAGTGCCATAGCTATGGGGGTGGTATGGCCGGGTTTTTTGCCCCAGGTGCAGCCTCCAGAGGGGCACCATTGAGGCTCCCAGCTTGTGTGTGTGTATGCAAATGTGTGCGGCGGGGGTGTGCCAAACGGGGTCTTTGACTTAGGTGAGATAAAGCCTAGTTTTGCCCCTGGATAAAGAGAGGTCAGATTGTTTTACAAAGCTGTTCTGATGTTTCTTTGCTTTACCGTGTGATGAAAGGCTCCTTGGGAAAGCATTACTCAATTGACAGTGCAGTCCTTAGGCTTCCTCACTTGGGAGGAAATCTAATCGTGCTCAGTGGAGTTTACTGGGGCTGGGAGCCTTTTTGTTCAACTCAAGGCAACCTTCCAAGACCTACATTGCCAGGGGCAAAAATGGGCAGAGCAGTAAATGTAAGTTGTACCTTTGCCCAGTAGGTTTCTATTTGCATTGGAACATCCTTTCCTAGCCTCCATCTGGGCAAGCAAGAGACATTCTCAGGGTGCAAGGAGACATTCCAGCCAGGCAAAAGCAGGGTGAGTGGGTGTGGCCTGGGGAGAACCCTGAGAGCCAGATAGAGAGGTCTGGAGGGCCACATCCTCAGCCCTGAAACTAAGGGATGGAGAACTTGTCAGCCAGCATGCCCAGTTGCTTTGGACAATAGGGGTTGGAGTCAAACAATATTTGAGTCTGAGAAATAATGAATTAGCAAAACCCCACTGCATTTTTCCCCCTTCAAATTTTTAAGCTTAATTCAGCTACTGGGATTCAGAAACCTTTGCAAAGGAATGCAAATCACCCACAGATCTGCAAGTAGATCACTATCTCCCTCTGCCGTCTTGTCCCCCTCTGCTTTACGCTCTGCAGCGTGCAAAGGAGCATGTGGAACAGGTTGGTCTGGCTGAACACATTGCAGGGATGGGGGAAGAGGAACATGTGATTTGATGATGTGATATCAGCATCCCCAGTGGCCTCTGAGCAATCTGTAGAATTCCTTCCTTCCTTCCTTCCTTCCTTCCTTCCTTCCTTCCTTCTTTCCTCCCTCCCTCTCTCTCCACACACCATACATTTAAAGCACATCCTTCCCCTTACAAAGAATCCTAGGAACCCTTCCCCCCACAACTATAGTTCCCAGCACCCTTTACAAACTGCAGTTTCCAAAATACTGGGGAGGGGCCTGGAACCCTGTGCTTTAAATGGATGTTGTGTACACAGCCTTTCTCTCTGCTTCTGAAAGCAGCTCAAGCAGAGAAGACCTTTAACTGACATCACACTTACTCCAGTGTAAGGCAGTCTCCTGGCATTACGCAAATGTCCCATCTTAGGAAAAGTGCTATGTTGAGTTATCACTTGGTTTGGTTTGCGTTTGGGGGCATGAGTTCTGTTTTGAAATTATGCTCTTCCACCCTTCATGCAAACACGCCGTTTCCCTCCTCTCCCCCATTTCTGTTCTGAACTGCTGTTTCAGACTGCCAAGCTTAAGGAATGGAGCTTACTGGCCTTTACCAAAGAGATGCGTCAAGGAAACATTCTAATGACAGCTCAAAAAGGCTTTGATCCTCTTCCAGGACTGCACTCATGGCTTTGAAATGCGACTTTGGCAGCCCTTGAGTCTGGCTGCTTTGGTTCTCTTTGGCATCGGCCCATTTGAGTGACATTACATCCTCCATCACGGGACCCAAATAACCTTGAGAAGATGATGGGTGGCTCACAGACCATGCTGAAGAAGGGGGGCTTGAGGTGCCTACCAGCAGTTGTTTGGTGCTATGCTAGCAAACACAGTAACCGCAACATAAGAGGCTGAATGGAAGAGCACAACACTTGGCAGGCAAAAGGTCCCAGGTTCAGTGCCCGGCATCTCCAGGTTGTACTGGAAAAGCTCCCTATCTGAAAGCCTGGAGAGCCACTGCCATTCAGTGTTGGTTGTACTGAGCCAGGTGAGCTTTATATAAGGCAGCTTCCTGTGTTCTTTTTTTGAAATCATGAAGGCTTGATTCTTACTTCATTTTATGGAAAATACCATGGCTCCATAGAGCACTTGCTTTTTATAAAGAAAGTCCCTGATTCAATATACAGAGAATAACTGCCTGTCAGTGTAGACAGTACTGAGCTACATGGACAAGGGATATCACTCAGTATAAGGCAGCTTCCTATGTTTCTACACCTACTCTGAAATTCTCCCCCACTCATCTTCATTTATTTATCCCAGGTTCTAGGATAATGAGGGGGGGGGGGACTTTTCTATCCATACCATACTTCATTTTTAAACTGGTCTGCTTTTTTATAAACTGAAAAGCTTTTGATGTTGAAACCTGCTCAGACCACATGCTTAAACATCTATTTGTTTTACAAAAATGTGTCTACCACTTTCTCAACCATAACAGGTTACAAAACAGAACCTCCCTTAAAAAATAGCTTTACAGTGGTACCTCAAGACGCTTCAGGTTACAGACACTTCAGGTTACAGACTCCACTAACCCAGAAATAGTACCTTGGGTTAAGAACTTAGCTTCAGGATGAGAACAGAAATCGTGCGGCGGTGGCACAGCAGCAGCGGGAGGCCCCATTAGCTAAAGTGGTCCCTCAGGTTAAGAACAGTTTCAGGTTAAGAACGGACCTCCGGAACGAATTAAGTTCTTAACCCGAGGTACCACTGTATAGGCAGATGGTACAGACCAGGGCTGGGGCAACTTGATAAAGCCAGGGGACCAGATCCTTATCTTCTACACACACACACACACACACACAAACACACAACTGGCCAAGTCTGGAAGGAAAGTAGGCCTGTGCACGTGTCAGTCACCTGATGCCAGAGGTAGTAAGCGATATGGCCTTGTGGGCTAAATGGCCTGTCGGCTGGATGTTCCCAACTGGTGATACAGGCCCTTACAGTGACAAATACTATAAAGTTGATACAGGTGTTGGAGAAGATATATGCATATATGTGTTTCAGTATTGTTATCTTCCTGGTCTGAGGCAATTCTTGAGGCAAGAGAAAGAAGCTTCTCCCTTAACCTGTCTGCCTTCAGAATACTAGATGCTGTGCAGCTAGTACTGTCTTCCCTTTCAGGCAACTGTCCAGACAGCATCTGCCAGATGTGGCCAGGTTCTGGGGCGAAGGGGAATGGAGCAATAATTGCTGGTTTTGCCAGACATTCAGCACTCACAGATTGAGCCTACTGCATGTGATGCATGTTTATTTGCAAGCAAGTTGCACCGTGTTCTGTGAGGCTTTTGCTGAGGTTAAGTCTGTGCAGAATAGTAGTCTGAGAGCAGCTCCTCCTCACCTGCTGGCCACCATTTCAGTGGCCCACCATTGCCATTTTCTTGCTGAAACACACTCTAAGCACTGCCTGTGGGCACTGTGTCTCATGTCTGGAACTCTCTGCCACAATATGTGGCAATGACCACTAGCTTAGGTGGCTCTCAAATGGAACTGACTGAGGCTCCATCTGCACTATACATACAAAGCACTATTATACCACTTTAGGCAACCGTAGGCTCCCCCCCCCCCGCAAGAATCCTGACAAGTAAGATTTTTTAAAGATGCTGAGGGTTTTTGGGATACCCCTATTCCATTCCCAAAGCTGCAGTCCCCTGAGCTGTTTAATAGTCAATCCCTTTTCCCAGGGAATTTGGGGGGTGTTAGCTTTGTGAGGGGAATAGGAGGTCTCCTAAACCCACTACAGTTCCCATAATCCTTTGGCAGAAGCAGCGACTGTTAAAGTGGTCTAATAGTGCTTTGTTGAAATTGTTAATAACATTTTTTAAAATAAAATAAAAATAATAGTGCTTTGAATGCATGGTATGGATATGGCCTTACTGAATATATAGAACACATCTGGAAACTCTTCAGTCAGTGCTTGAGTCCCACAAGGAAAAAGGTGGGGTATTAATAATAATAATCAGTGCTTTTTCCCCTAAGAGAAATGGTGCCAGTACTAATCATAATCCTCTCCCCGACCCCCACTGGCCTTTCCTCTCTCTCACATGTACTCTCTCGCCTGTCCCCCCTCGATTAATTAAAGCCCCACTTTGTGACCCCTCCCTCTTCTTCAACCTCCCCCCCTACTTTGCCCCATCTGCTCTTCACACCCACTCCTCCTGTCCTCTCCCTTCCCCTCCTCCCAGCCACCATCCGCACCCTCCGTGCTCGACTCAACGGCTTGCCCCAACCACAGAATGGAGGATGGCGGCACTAGCAGCAGAGGCTTCTGCCTCCTCCCCTTCTCTTTCTCCCTTCCTCCACTCCTCTGCCCCATCCCACAGACATGGAAAGAGTGAGCAGAGATGAAAGGGACGTGGTGCTCACGCTTACCTGGCTGCTCATGGCGCAGCGAGGCAGTGACATGGCAGTGCGTCCGGGGGAGAGCATGCATTGTGGGGGCAGCAGAAGGGGAACAGTGCAACCTGTTGACTGAGTGTGGCAACTACAGCTCTGAACAAGAGCCCTCTTTTTCTTGCCACTGCTGCTTCAACCTATCTTTTGCAACCCCCCCTTTTAGCCACGGTTGCTTGCTTGTTCTCCTGACCCTCCGCTTACCTTATCACAATATTTTTTTTGGTGAGGGGGGGAGGTGATGGCACTGTGTACCACTAAGTACAGTAGTACCTCTGGTTGCAAACGGGATCCGTTCCAGAGGCCAGTTCGCAACATGAAAAGAACACAACCCGCAGTGGCGTGTCTGCGCATGTGCAAGTTGTGATTCGCCACTTCTGCGCATGTGTGTGACGTCATTTTGCACTTCTGCGTGAGCGGTGAAACCCGGAAGTAACCCTTTCTGGCTCTTCCAGGTCACCGCAGAATGTAACCTGAAAGACCGTAACATGAAGAGGATGTAACATGAGGTATGACTATACTGCCAGAAAAAAGCACTGATGGTGATGATGATGATAGCTGCCATTAGATTCATGGCAGATAGGCCTGTCAAGGGTTATTAGTCTTGACAGTGAACTAAAAACCCTGTTCAGAGCCAACGGACATCTGCATACCTGGTTCGAGGGCAGAGGTGGTGGACAATGTTTTGACCCAAGAGACACATTCTTTTCTGGACAGTCTTTCAGGAGCCACATGCCAGAAACAGGCAAGGCCAGAGGCAAAGTGGATATGAGCAATGACTGTAAACTTTATCTTTGTATAGTAGACTAGTTTCTACACATGCTTTCTTTTTCTCTCTCAGACACCCCCCCCCTGGGTTGGGTCACCAAGAGACATTAGTAGAGTGCAGCAAGGCAAAAACATTCAAAGGAGGGCGTGAAGCCAGAATCTTGATGGGTGTTGCTGGAGAGTGGGTATGTGGGATAGGGAGGGTAGATAGAGATTTATGGAGGGCTGCTGTTGATGTCCAGGCCTGAAGTGCTGTACCTCTGTGCTAGGCAGCCAGAATGAAGGCCTTATGGGAGGTATCTGTGGGAAGCCAGATGTTGGATCAAATGGTCCATTGGTTGAACCAGAGTGGCTTTTTTTTGCATTGTTCACATGTATGCCACATCTGGTGATGAAGCTGTGAAGGTGGAATGCAACATGGGCAGAGGTTTCAAATGGACACCTCAGGGAAACTGCTCTTCCTTTCATTCTTTATAAGATTTTTTTAAAGCCAGTGCTCAAATATCAGCAGAAAAACCTATGTGTTTGTCACAGGTCACAGAGAGCACAGGGCGACAGTGGATATGAGAACTGGGTTAATCGTCACAGAGCAGCATCCTTCAGGATAGATCTGTGACTGCTTGTCTCAAGATAAACGTTTGGAAACAACCCCCACCCAAAACCAATGGTATCCCTGAGGAGATGGCTTTTCTCCATGATTCAGCAGAGGGAGGCTTGGGGACACCCAGCCTAGAGATATTTTGAAATCAATGACTTCTGTGAGAGACAGGGGGAGGAGAGAAACGATAATGCTATTGTGGAAACGCATGTGTCTGTTTTCCATTGGGGAGTCCTTGGGGGGATGAGTGGAAGCCTCTGGTCCTGAGCCAGCTCCCGTGGTCTCTCTTCCTTCTGGGAAGGGAATTTTCACAAAGAATTCAAGGAACCCAGCTCAGTGGAACAGAGGAGCAAACGGTTCATGAGAGCACCACGTGTAACAGGCGAAAACACATGCACAGCTTGCCAAGAGAGAGAGGTGGAAGAATCCAAATGTTTCCCATCCTTGGAGAATTTTTTGCCCTAGAGAGTGCAGCCCCCTTCATTAGTATGTTTTCCAGTTGCCCCATTTCAAACAAAACAAAATGGAAAAAATAAAATAAGCTTTGGGAAATTGTGCTGTCTTGCACAGTGTTCTATCTGGGAAGAGGCATTGTGCTTAAAAACAGAATCTGTCACACCTGGCTTCCAACCTGAATTTTGCAAGCCTGTATTTCTAGCATAGTTTCTGGGTCAGAACTCGTCATGACAAAATATGCTTTAGTGTCAGATTCTGAAGAAATAGTTCTGGATTTATTTTTTTTCATCCAGACAAATGGAACTTTGCCAGAATTTTTTTTTAAAAAATGGGTTGTTTTATTTCCCCCTCTCCTGTTTTTGTTTGTTTGTTTAATTTGCAAAATTGCACAATGGTTCAATGGGAATCTCCTAGGAAAATAGAAAGCTGCCTTATCCTGAATCAGACCATTGGTCCATCTAGCTCAATACACTGCCAGCTACTACACGGGTTGGCAGCTGTTTTCCAGGATCTCAGGCAGAGCTGTCACCCAGTCACAATCTCTCAGCTTAATCTTATCTCTTTTTTTTTATATAATATTTATTCAAATTTTAAGATTACAGAAAAAGAAAAAAGTAAAGAAAGAAAAACTAATCACATACATCCTACAAGAAAAACACACAATACAAGGAAAAATACACAAGACAAAAAATCACAATAAAAAATAACAAAAGAAAAATTCAACTTAAACCATTAGAGCCGTTTTCCCATTTACTTATTTCCGTGACTTCCTCTCACTTCTCTGCTTTGTATTCTAATTCAAATTGTATCTCCAGCAAATCCTTCTAACCTTCTTTTCATTTACTTATTTTAACATTCAAAAATATTTAATTCTCCTCTATCTTTTATTTTACACTTCATATTTACTTAATTCCATTATACTCTGTCTGCCAATACGGTCTAATATTCTTCTCCAACCTTTTCTAACATTCTTTTATATTACAGTGATTCTGAAGATATGTTTTAAATTTTTTCCAATCTTCTTCCATCGACCCTTCTTCTTGATCTCGAATTCTGCCGGTCATCTCAGCCAGTTCCATATAGTCTATCACTTTTCTCTGCCATTCTTCTCGGGTAGGCAATTCTTGTGTCTTCCAGTATTTCCCAATGAGTATTCTTGCTGCTGCTGTCGCATACATAAAAAATTCCTGTCTTCCCTTCGCACCAATTGACCGACCATGCCCAAGAGGAAGGCCTCTGGTTTCTTCAAGAAAGTATATTTCAATACCTTTTTAAGTTCATTATATATCATTTCTCAGAAGGCCTTGATCTATGGGCACGACCACAAAAGCTGAAAAAAAGAACCTTCGTTTTCTTTACATTTCCAACATTTATTATCAGGCAAATGATAAATTTTTGCTAGCTTGACTGGGGTTAAGTACCACCTGTAAATCATTTTCATTATATTTTCTCTTAAGGCGTTACAAGCCGTAAATTTCATACCTGTGGTCCATAACCGTTCCCAGTCAGCAAACATAATGTTATGCCCAACATCTTGCGCCCATTTAATCATAGCAGATTTGACCATTTCATCCTGTGTATTCCATTTCAACAGCAGATTATACATTCTTGACAAATTTTTAGTTTTAGGTTCTAACAATTCCGTTTCCAGTTTAGATTTTTCATCCTGGAAACCAATCTTTTTGTCTAAATTAAAAACCTCCCTTATTTGATAATAATGCAGCCAATCTCGAACTTTAGTTTTTAATTTGTCGAAGCTCTGCAATTTTAGTTTATCACCAACTTGTTCTAAGATTTCACAATATTTTGGCCAGTTTGTCTCCATATTAGTTTTTTTCAATGCCTTTGCCTCCATTGGTGACAGCCACCTTGGTGTTTTACTTTCCAACAAATCCTTATATCTCACCCAAACATTAAACAATGCTTTCCTGACAATATGATTCTTAAAGGCCAGCTTAATCTTATCTCACAGGGGGGCTGTGAGTATAAATTTGGGGTGAGGCGAGTGAGACATGCTTGCTGCCCTGAGCTCCTTCGAATGAAATGTGAGATAGAAGTGGCTACACTGGGAGGAGGTTGTGATGTGACAATGGATTATTTACTTTCCTGCTACAACCTACACAAACCCCTCAGTCTGTAACTGATACTCTCCTCCAGGGGCCTCTTACCAGGGGAGGTTTGGCAGGTTGTGACAAAAGAAAGGGCCTTTTCAGTGGAGACTCCCTGCTTGTGGGATGCTTTTCCCAGAAAGGCCCACCCGGCACTATCCTTAATGTACATTTATCACCAGGTAAAATGTATCTCTTGTCCTAGACATTTCACTGATAAGAATGCTTTTGCTGTTTATTGGTTGTGGCTTTTTGCTGTTGAATATTTTGCCTCTATTTAAGTAGGTCTGTTTTATGGGTTATTACGTATGTTTTATTGTAATGTATTTCTCTTTTATTCTGATGTTATGATTATTTATTTATGAATCACTTCTCATGAGGCATTCTGAAGCAATATGTAATATAATTTTTTTAAATGGAAAACCATTGTGGTTTTTTTTAAAAAAAAACACAGTTAAAACAATTGCATATATTATGTATTATAATGTATTAAATGTCTATACCACTCTTCATCCAAGGATCAGAGGGCACGATTATATATCTATATCTATATCTATATCTATATCTATATCTGTATCTATCGATATAGATATGTAATATCTATAATTTTCCTTTGTTTTTTATTATTGTTAATTTCTGATAGTGCTGTGTTACTGTTAGTTGTAGAAAAGAAGTTAAACACAGAGGGGTTATGGTGAAAAGAAAGGGAGACAGTATGAGAGACAGGCAAGAATGGGTTTTCCTCAGGGTGTGAGGCTGAGGAAGGGGGAAAACCTCTCAGGTGAGAGCTGGGGAGATTCACCTCTTTGTATGTGGATTGAAGATTAGGGTAGAATTAGAATAGGGGGCTGTGTGTTTGTTGCTATTTCTATTGTCTTTCTCCTCTCTTTTCTTTTGTTTTTTCTCTTTCTTTCTTTCTTTTCTACTTCATTGCTTCTAGATATAATTTTATTATATTGTGAAAAAATAATAAAAATTTCTGGAAAAAATGCAGTTTATGTATGTGCTGTTGTGGTTTTAAACTGCAAGTCAGTGCAAGTCTAATACAGTTACTAACTGGGGTAAAGATTTTAATTTAGAAGGCTTGTAGGAACATCTTTAACAGGCACCAAAAATAAAATGGAAATATTTTTTTTGTTTCCAGAGGCTCTTTAAATGGCAAGTGAGTATTAAGCTGCATTTATCATTGTTGTTACAGTATACGATGCAAAACAACAGCAGTTCATTGTGAGAGTTTGATGGGCTCCTGTTGGTGCCACACGCTTCTTGAGTCTGAGCACAGAGTATCTGATACCCTCAGCAATCTCCCATGAGGTGCTTGTCTGCGTTGCTAATGAGGCATCAAGAGAGGAATGACAGGTTGATGTCCTTGTGCCCCTAAGACTAGCTTTGACTTTCTGGATATGTGTTTTATCCGCTTCTATTATTATTATTATGGGGGTGGGAGGATCCTTAATAAAATCTATGGGTCGTGACTCCCTCTAAGTTGAGCCAAATCACCCCCTCTGTAGCTTTCTAAAAGCAGTTGCTAAGAGAGCTGTCTCCAAAGGCATGAGAGTGGGGGGGGGGCTTCCCTCCCTCCCTCCTTGCCTCCCCCCCCACCTTCTCCAGTAATTTGAGTCTTGGTTTCACCTCTACTGCAGGTTTCAAAATGCACTGTTACGTTACAGAACTAAGAGTGAGGGCTCAGCTGCATGATGATCACATTTTGAATTCTTGTGCTGAATTTCCATGTTCGACCAAGCGGGGATTTTTCATTGAGCAGGGATGTGGAAATAGCAATGGCTATGTTGTTTTGTTGTTTTCTCCCCCCCTTTTTTTTGTCCAAGTGTTAGAACACAATGCATTTAGCAGCAGAGAAGGGAGTGAGATGTAGGCAGCCCCAAAGAGCTGACCCCATTACACACTTAGCAATGAATGCATTGGAGGATGGGGATTGGGGCTTTGTGCCCGTGACATGCTCCCATCAGCACATTGCCCCAGCCCTGATAGGCCAACTGCTGACAGCTGCCCTGGGTCAAGCAACCAGTACCTGATAGCAAGCTGCCATTTTAATTTCCCACCATGCCTCCTAATGTAGCATTACACTTGGGCAGGTAACCCTCTTCCCTGACGGCTGCATTCTAAGGACCACATGCCAAGGGTGGGTGGGGCCAGGGGGAAAGGGGGAGGAGCAATGCATGTAACATTTGTACAATAGGTCAACCACCACCACCACAAATCTTTATTATGGTCATTGACCAGTACAATAGGTCAGTCTCTATGCTCCATCTGGGCAAGCAAAAGGCATTACCAGAGTTCAATGACACATTCCAGTCTGGCAGAAACTAACAAGGAGGAGGGCACGAAGCAGGAAAAGTGAGGTCTATGGTTTGGTGAAAGTTCTGAAAGCCAGAGAAGTCAGGAAAGCCCCCAGGTTCTGAGGTTCCCCACCCTGCTCTAGTGCATTGTGGGTGCCCTGAAGTTGATGCTATATCATAGGACATTGTTAGAACATAAAGCAGTTTTAATTTCCCACATTGCACATGCTGGCTGGAGGGCACTAGGTTGGTGTAGGGTGCCTGAACAACATCTTCATGCACACACCTGCACTGATGTGAGCTCTGTCCTTTTAGCTGGGAAGGCTGTGTTTTGCAATATTATCACTTAACACTGAGAAACACGCACATTAACTCTATTCAGATAATAAGATGAGCCTGTGGAGTTTAGGGCAAGTCAGGGAGCACGAACATGATCCCAATGCCATCCACTGCATGCATTCACAGAACATCAGGAAGGGGTTTTAGGGACCCAGGTAGTCTTAGTGAGCTAATGCACAAAGACTGAGCTAGGAGCAAAGGGGGATCCCCCCAGGCTGAGTCATCTTTCCATTTATGAGATGGCAATTTCCCAAATGAGTCAGTGATCTGAGCCGCTGGTTGCATTCTGAAGTGGTATAGTGCCTATAGTCATTATGCAAAAAGAAATAGGTCTCAGTTAGCTTACTCCAAGTGATTGTGGGCAGGACTGTCAGTAATCACACAGTAGCCCTTGGCTCACAGTCACATCAGATCAGGGCAGGCTTATACATGACTAGATTCTCCTCCATCCTTTTAAATAAATAAATAAAATTTGTTTGTTTTTAACGTTCCATAAACAGAAAAGCAGCATGTCTGGGATAATTTTAGCTTGCGTCTCTTCTTCCTGATAAACTAGATTCTTTGTGAAAGTGTTTTCCTTCCTTCCTTCCTTCCTTCCTTTAAAATACGAGAGCATTCAATTTGTAGCCCAAGTACAGATTTACCTCTTCAGTCAGATTCAAGGTGACACAGCTGAAAGGTATGGGGTGATTTGAACCTGGAAACTCTGTGGCTCCTCTATGGGTGATTCTTCATCATTCCCATTGGCACTCCCGTTCTGGTCAAAATGTAGCCTTGTGGTTGCTGAATATTCCCAAAGGGACAAAAAAAAAAGATGGGAAGAGGGTCTCACAATTCTACACCAGCCCAATACCCATTCTGATGTTAGCTCATATTCTGAGACTTTTGTCTGTTTTGAGGGGGTCGCTTCTCATTTATGTGATATTTTCTCATCTTTCTTTCTGTTGCAGAGCTTATTTAGATGTCAAAGAACTTAAGAACAGGCTCCAACTGGATGGCTCAACACATCTCAACATCTTCTTTGCTAACAGCTCTGAAGAAGAGTTGGCAGGTGTAGCTACCTGGCCGTGGGACAAGGAAGCTTTGGTACACCTGGGTAAGTCACACCAGAAGAGCTCCACAATATCAGGTCAAACAACATCCTGTTCTCACAGTGGTCAGCCTGATGGCTCTGGGAAGTTCATAGGTAGACGACAAAGGCAACAGGCCTTTCTTACTGTTATGCATTAGAACATTAGAAAAGTCCTGCAGGATCGGGTCAATGGCCCAGTCTCATCCAGCGTTCCATTCTCATGTTGGGCAATTATATGCCCTTAGGGGAGAGAAATGATACAGCCAATGCAAGAGAATTAGAATCAGAAAGCCTGGTAGGTTCTCTTGTAGATCTTTGGGCCCTTAGCCCATGAGTCTCAGGTTGGGAGTCCCAGCATTGCAGTTATCTGACCCAAGCATTGCTAGAGCTGGGATAGTTAGCCAAATCATCTCCCTATGAACTTAAGCAGAGTTCTAGATCAGGCCAGAGGCTCATTTAATGCAGCATCCTTTCCTTGCCCAACTAGATGACCATGGGAAGCCCACAAGCAGTGCTTGAGCACAACAGCAATGCGTTCCTCACCTGTGATTCTCGGCAACTGAAGAGGCAGACCTTGAAAAGGGAGAATCTCCTCCCTGTGGACTGCTCCTTGTGGCAAAGAAGAAAGGACAGGATGCTGTTAACCTTTATCCTGATTTCTTATCATTTGCAGTCATAGTGTTGAGTAGTCCACCGAATAATAATAATAATAATAATAATAATAATAATAATAATCAAAACAATATTCACCATTCCTCGCTTCCTGGCTTACAACCAGGAAAATATTAGATTACAAACCCCAAACACTTTACAGTATTTCTCAAATGATGTCAAGACAAAAGTATTTCACCTTTCTCAAAGAAGTTGCTTCTGAGGGCATCTTCTCCACGTGTGGAATTTGCAAAGGTTTTTGAGTGAGGGAACACGTTGTTTTAGTGGGGGAGATGTAACATTGTAACCTCACAATTGTTGCTCGCAATGCAGGCAGCTGATTTCCTTGTCCCACTTGGGTGTCCCTGAAGAGCTGTATGTCAGGCTGTAAGGTGGGAGCAGCCAGTCATGGGCAGTCATAGACTGCTAGGTGGACGTTGGAACTAGGTGAGAAGGCATGTCCTTAACTAACCTAGGGTTTGAGGATATGTGTCCATATTGGAGAAGCTAGTTGGTTGACTAAGAGCCTCAGTGGTGTCCTCTGGAGGCTTTACCCCGGGCAAAATTCCTGGCTAAATGCCCTTCGTTTCACCACTGGAAACCCCTAATGGATGTCACCTGGAGTTTCATGGTGGGGGAACAGCCAGATAGGGTCAGGCTAAAGCATCCAGTTTGTGGGTGGAGAAATGGCAGGGGAGTGGTTTTAACCAATTTTCAGAGGGTTAACAATTTGGGGGTGAGGAAAACTCACCATCTCCAGAGGGCCTTTGGGCATATTCTCCTCCCTCTCCCTCTCCCTCTCCCTCTCCAAAGCCCCTGGGAATGACATGGCATGATGAAATGACATGATGGGGGCTTCTGGAGGTGGGTAGGAATGGTCTGGAACCCTCACTCACAACAGCTGGCTTACAGTATTTAGACCCATCAAGTGATAAAGCATCCATGCTTAATGTTGAAAAATCCCTTTACAGGTGGTATCACAGGGTCAGCTAAGGAAAGACTGCAAAAATGACTCTATTAAGGGGGAGAGGGATAAGTCCTTCTGAATTATTTATATCCTGCTTTTATATAGCTCCCAACCCTGTATGATAATCAGCTTCATGGCTGAGTGGGCATTAGAACCCTGCTCTCCCAAGTTCTGGTCCAGAACTCTAAGCACTACACCATACCGCCTCCAGTGGTGTGTGGGGGAAAGGCTAAGTAAACTTCAGTGTGTGCTGATTAACTTAGAAAAAGCATATTGGGTCAGCGATCAGGGATGATGGGACAAACATAGGAATCTGCTTTATGCAAAGGCAAAACATTGGTCCACCTAGCTCAGTGCTGCCTACACTGACTGGCAGTGGCTCAAGCCACAGCTTCTCTCAGTCCTGAGGGATGGGTCATTGTTCAGTGGTGGAGCATCTGCTTTGCCTGCAGAAGGTCCCAGGTTCAATCACCAGCAGCTCCAGATAAGGCAGAGAGAGACACCCTGGATAGCCACTGCTAGTCAGCATAGTTAATTCTGAGCTAGATGTACCAGTAGTCTGACTTAGGAACATAGGACGCTACCAGCGCCTTACACTAACTCATCAGCTGCAACACAACTCCTTTCATGCTATGTATTATTATGCCTCCTACATTTTCAGTAATGCACTAAAGCACTAAACCAGGAATGAAAGAAACTCTCATTTTTGCCTGGGTGTGAAAGAGAAGCTGGCCCCCCACCTGGGCAAACTTCAGAGGCAGAGCACCACTCACAGAGGCGTAGCGTAGGGGTACATGGGGGCTGTGGCCCTGCGTGTAGTTTTGTGAGGGGATACAAACAGGTGCCTTCATTGGAGCCCGGCTCTGTGCAAGAAGGAGCTGTGCCTTTTTGCTCATGCCTGACCCTAGGGGAGGAGAGCAGGAGAGTGGGCAGAAACAATGCTGCCCACTGTCTTCAGTTGCAGGGTGCCTTGCACATGGCTGCAGCTGCTCTGCTGCCAGGTCAGGCCTGCCCTGCCCACAGAGGGCAGGAGGAGAGTGGGTGGCAGCTTCCCTGCCCCTCTCCTCCCTTGGACTGTGGTGCATGGGATGGTATCCTCCATGCCTCCCTTGGGGGAGCCCCACAAGCCCACCCCTGGCAGCAAGGGCATATGCTCTGCTGCTGGCTTGTCACTTCCAGGGATCCTTCCAACATCTGCATTTTCTCACTTCCCCAAGATCCTTCTGGGCAGTAATAGATGTAACATCTCACTTCTGTCAGTTGGGATGCATTGGAAGGCAGAGAGGATGTGGGCCACCAGACGGAACTCTGCAAACAGGTGGTGTGATTCCCCCACACACACCTGCCCCATCACATCCTTGAATCTTACCTCTCTGAAAATCAGCCATAAATATGCCCCCAATTATTCACCTGCAAGTGTGGAGGAGGGCTTTTTGTTTTGGCCTTTGCTCTTTCAGAGGAGTAGCCTTCAGGAGTAGGTGTCAGGTTTGTAGAACTAAAAAGGAGGGATGTAGGTCAATGTTAGAGTACCTGCTTTGCATGCAGAAGGTTCTAGATCCAATCTCTAGTGTCTCCCGGTAGGGCTAGGAGAGAGCCACATCTAGAACCCTGGAAAGCCACTGCCCATCTGTGCAGACAATCCTGAGCTAGAGGGACCAATGGTTCTGGTTCAGTGTAAGGCAGTCTCTTCTCTTCTTAATGGCCATAGCTCAGTGATAAGGGAACATCAGATATTGGGAGATGAAGAAGACTTCAGCCTGAGATATTGGGGGACCATGGGCTCATCCACACTTACCTTTGCTCCACATTTCTATGCACAGGTCTAGGATTTCCAGGTCCATGCCCAAGTGCTTGTTTTTTGTTGTTGTTTTTTGCCCTGGACACTTTCCCTATAAAAACCTGCTGTTTACTGCTAAATCAGAACAAACGGCAATTTCAGTGTTAAAGAGCAAGGGGGAAGTGGTGGGCCAAAAAAAAAAAAGAAAAAGAAAAAGCATTGGGATGTGGACTGGGAAAGCAAGGGCCCATGCCTAGAAAGCATGGGGCAAAAGGTAAGTGTGGATGAGCCCAATATTGGCTTGGGTGGACCAGAGATCTGCGTCAGTAGAAGCTGCTTCACATAGAAAGAGACAAAGTCAGAGACAGGAGTATGAGGAGGGTGCTGGGGGAGTACATAATGTTGAGCTTGTTGGACCAGTGGTCAGATTCAGTGTAAGATGCTTCATTTGTACCAACAGGGAGTGAGGGGAGAGAGGGCTTGACAAATGAATGGAAGACTTTGGGGAGCCATTGTCCCAATGGCATAGACAATACTGCATTGGTTGGACCTGTGGTCTGACTCAGTATATAACACTTTATTTGGGAGAAGAGAAAGAGTTGAGTTTGAGAGAGGCTTGGGAGAGTCAAAAGACTGTCATGAAAGGAGATGTGGAAGACCTCTTCCTTAGACTCTAAAGAATCACTGTCCCAGCAAAATAGACAATTCTGAGCCAATTGGTCTAGCTTGACCAGTGGGCTGACTTGGTATAAGGTGCTTTGTACGTACAAGCACAAGCACACACAGAGAGATGAGCTTGAACGGGAGAGCTGAAGGGCTGGCATGCAGCTTGGGAACAGAAGCAGGCTTTTTTAATTCAGATAACTAGATTTTTTGGCTAATTGGTGTTGTACTCTCCTGTAGCACCTCCTGCTGGACCAGTCATAGGTATTTTCCACTGTCTCTTCTCTTGATTTCAACTAATCTCTTAATGGTCCAAAGCAGCATCTTTTAATACCTTGGATTCAGTTTCTTTGGGGTTTTTTTCTATATAAAAGTGAGTGCAAGAGTAATCATCACAATAAAATATAATCAGTGGACAGTCTGAAGTTGACTCACACACACACCCCCATAAGGCAAAAGGAGAAAAAATTAATTTCCTGTTTTAAAAGCCCTCACTGCCCACCTTTTCTCCTTCAGCAAGAACTTTGCTGCTTAATCTTTCTATACTCTTTTTCTTTCTATAAATCCAATATGTATTTAATAAGAAAAAATAAGATGAAATATGCACCACTGTCCGGATCTTAGCTTTGGAATATAGATCATCTGGTCGAGGGAAACTATCTTTTTGGTGGGGAGATTGCAATTGATTTAGACTCTTGACAACTGTGAAAAATATACATAACCTCCACCAAAAGAAGGGGGGGGGTCTAAAAAGGGAATAAATAAGAAAATCAAGCAACCTGCACAGTTGCCTTTAGCCCTGATGAAATTGAGCCAGCCTGTATTGTGATTTTTATCTCCTCACTTAGGGAGTGTTTTTCCAATATATCTAGTGATGGGGTGGGGAGGAATGGTAGGGAGATAAGCTTTGAGATGGGTTTGCAGCAAAATAATCAACATGGATTCTCTCTTGCTGCTATTCATTCACACACACTGTCTAGTGGCAGCACCAAAGGAACAGCACATTGGGCACCTGCCAAGGCTCACACCTCAGCAAGGACCTCACTGTTGACCACTAGAGTCCCTTGACTGTCCTACTCCTCCTCACAGTTGTCAACTGTTCACTTTCCCTATCCAAAGGTGTAATGGAATCATAGCATTCTGGACTAGATGAGCTATTGTACTGTTTGAGCTCGCTCCTCTTACATTCTGATGTTCTTACGGCTGGAAAAATGAGAAGCTTATATTGACAGATCCACCAATCCTTTATCTGAGAAGTCTGTATTTTCTAGTACCTGGAAAAACACTGTCTCTGTTGTTTTAATGTATACTTATAATAGAATCATAGAATTGAGGAGTTGGAAGGGACCCCAAGGGTCATCTAGTCCCACCCTGTGCAATGCAGGAATATCAACTAAACCATCCATGACAGATGTCCATCCAATCTCTTATTAAAAACCTCAGAGAAAGGAGAGTCCATACCTCCCAAGGGAGACTGTTTCACTTTTGAAGAGCTCTTGCTGTCAGAAATTTCTTCCTAATGTTTAGTCGGAATCTGCTTCCTTGTAACCTGAAGCCATTGGTTTGAATCCTACCTTCCAGAGCAGGGGAAAAACCCAGCGTGCTCCATCTTCCATGGGACAGCCCTTGAGATGGCTATCATATCTCCTCTCAGTCTCCTCTTTTCCAGGCTAAACATACCCAGCTCCTTCTCATTAGGCTTAGTTTCCAGTCCCATGATCATCTTGCTTGCCCTCCTCTGCACACATTCCAACATCCTTCTTAAATTGTGGTGTCTGGAACTGGACACAGTATTCCAGGTGTAGTCTGACCAAGGCAGAATAGAGTGATACTATTACTTCCCTTGATCTGGACCCTATACAGTGGATGCTCGGGTTGCAAACGTCAACCATGCGGGATGCACATTCGCAACCTGCAGGGTTCGCAGCCCGTGTCTGTGCACGCATGGGTTGCAATTTGGCGCTTCTGCAATGAGAAGCTGCAATGAGCTAAGTTTGACTCCTGCTGGTTGCTAACTTATTATTGATTAAAGCATTCCTCCCCACCCAGCTTTTCACCTAATTGCCTATGCAATTTTTCCAATGTTAAACCTCTCACAAAGTCCCTATTTGCCCCATGCAGGGACATTTACTGGTTGCTCATATGTTGCCTGCAGAGTTTTTCCCAATAGCAGCTTTTGGAGGGTGGGGCAGTAAAGTGGATTGAGAAAATGGCGCTGGAGATAGGGTTTAAAAAGGCCCACCCCAATGATCACCTTTTCTTGAATTGAATTCTCTTGCAGCCATTATTATTGTTACAAACCAAATAAGGGAGTGACAATGACTCTTCTGCGTCTCATCTAGCACAGTTGTAACACTAAAATTAATGGGTATGCTAGGGCTTTTTTCCCCAGCTGGAACTCACCAGAACTCAGTTCCGCTTTCTTTCAGGTGGGTGCCATTGCCATTTAAGAGAATAAAGGAGGCATTCATAGTGAGTTCCAGCACCTCTTTTTCTAGAAACATAGCACTGGGGATGACTTATCCTAAGATAAATCTGCCTTGTTTTGCTTGCCCACAGAAGAACATAATAAGAGCCCTGTTAGATCACACCAAATGTCAATGTAGTCTAGGATTTTTTCTCCCAGCAGTGACCAACCAGATGCATCTGGGAAGTCCACAGGGAGAGTGTGAAGCTCATAGCCCTCCCCTGTTGTTTATGCCCCAGCAACTAGCATTCAGTGAAAATATACTTTCTCTGAACACCATGCCTATGTTCTCTCTCCACTGATGGAAGCGGTATGCTCTGCATACCAGTTGATGGTAATCACAAATGGGGAGAGACCGTTTCATTCAGGTCCTTTTTGTGGGCTTTTCACTGGGGCACCTGTGTGGCCACTGTGAGAACAAGATGCTGGACTAGATGGACCTTTGTTCTGATCCAGCCAGGCTCCTCTTCTGTTTATACAGAGGTACCTCGGGTTCAGAACTTACCGTAATTCGTTCTGGAGGTCCGTTCTTAACCTGAAACTGTTCTTAACCCGAGGTACCACTTTAGCTAATGGAGCCTCCCACTGTCGCCGCCGCACAATTTCTGTTCTCATCCTGAAGCGAAGTTCTTAACCCGAGGTACTATTTCTGGGTTAGAGGAGTCTGTAACCTGAAGCGTCTATAACCTGAAGTGTCTGTAACCCAAGGTACCACTGTATATTCATATTGACTAATAACCTTTGAGAGACTTACCTTCTCCATGAATTTGCCCAACCCCCTTTGAAAGCCATTTATTGGTGGTCCTTCACTGAGTTCTGCTCCTACTCTCCTGCTATCACAGAATTATAGAGCTGGAATCATAGTGTATGAATCATAGTGCGTAAATAATGAATCATAGCGTATGAATCATAGCGCTCAAATGATTCCATCGCAGGGAATCATAGGGGTGGAAGGGACTTCAAAGGTCATAGTTGGCCATACAACCTCTGCTTATAAACCTTCCATGTAGGAGATTGCGTCACCTTTCAAGTCCGTCTGCCCTACTGTTGAACAGCTTGTACCATCAAGAAGTTCTTCCTAATGCTTAGTCATAATCCTGCTTTTTATAATTTGTGGGTCCATTATTTCAGTTCCTGGTCTCTTGCACAACAGAAATGAAATTTGCTCCACTATTATTTTGACAGCCCTTCAGATATTTGAGCATGATTATCATAGCCACATCTTAATCACCTCCAGGCTAAACAAACCCAACTCCATAATCCTTTCCTCATTGGTGTTCTGGGCCATGAGGGCAAAAGTAGCACTGCCTCACCAACCCCAGTAAGGCCCCAGCTGCCTGCCTTCTTGCATACAGCCATTCAGGGGCTGGCTCTGTCTGTCATCGGTTGTGGCTCCACCTCCCATTGGCTTCCCCACCTTCCACTCTACCAGCCCCAATGGGAAACAGCCATTGCATGATGTTTCTGGATATAGGAGTATAAAAGCAACTATCTCTCTTTCTTTACAGGGGGAATTGTGCTGAATCCTTCCTTCTATGGCATAGCGGGACACACCCATACAATGATCCATGAAATAGGGCACAGTCTGGGCCTCTACCACGTCTTCCGAGGAATCTCCGAGATCCTCTCCTGCAACGATCCATGCATGGAAACAGAACCTTCCTTTGAGACCGGTGACCTTTGCCATGACACAAATCCAGCTCCAAAACACAAGACCTGTGGTGATCCAGCCCCTGGGAATGACATGTGTGGTTTCCGTAGCTTCCAGGACACTCCATTTAACAATTTTATGAGCTACACAGGTACTCTGCCCTCCCTTCCTAGCCTTCTACTAGAGTTGACCTTTTTTCAAAATGTTGATAGCAAGCTTTAGAGTTTCTTATTCAGGCTTCAGGTTTTTTGCAGCAAAGGTGAAACTTACGTGTTCAGGTTGACACCAGTCAGTTAAGCACTTTCTAGAACATATGAGACAGAGAACCAGTGCAATTATGTTTCATTTGATGAGCTGGGCTTCAAAAATGTTGATAGCACATGTGTTCTAAATGTACTTACTAGGAAATAATCTTCACTGAAAACCTTGAGACTTAATTCTGACTTAGACAAGTATAGGATAGAGATGAGGAGAAACTTGAAAAAGTTTGCATTTAGAGGTGAACCTAACTAATTCACACTTTCCAAAACAATGCAGTATGTGGGGGTAGTCATAGGTTTGAATCCTGCAACTGCAGCAGTGGGCCTTGGCCTTGGACTGTGGGGATGGAAGAGAGGAAGGGGGCTGCTGGGGAGCACATGGTTGCTGCTGAATGGAGAATGGATTAACTGGAGAGGAAGGCCTCCAGAGATACTATGGAGCAGGAGCATGTGGGGGGACGGACCTGGGATGAGGCCTGTCCTGCTCCTTTTGATCCTTGCCACTTTTACTCAGGGCAGCTATAAGAAAATGTTCTCTAAGCAAAGTCAGAACAGAACAAGATGCAAGTGAGTTCCTTTATTTGTCCCAGTGGCCAAGACAGTGATGACCAAACAGGACCGCACAGGCTACTATCTGTTTGGAAAGATTATATTGAATACTCACAGTGTATTTAATCATTGGTCCAAGCCAATTTTAAGGGGAATAAAAGCTGTATCCATCAAAAACTGTTCATGAGCTGAATATTCAGGAACGAAAGGTTTGACTCAAAGAAAATGGGTAAGAGCAGTTTTTTTAAAAAAAAAAAATAATTTGTTTGCGGGAGGTTATTATTTTGTTGTTTCTGTTTTAGCTACTTATCTGTGCTTTTGTCTTACATTTTTATCTTGTGAAGTGCTTGAAATCTTTTGGTGAAGGACAGTAAAAAATAAAATAAAATAAATAATAAATGCACAAACCGAAAAGCAGCCTTCCTTCAAAATTCACCCTTCTCATTTTGCAATGCAGTTCTCCAGCCAAGTCAAAATGCATATACTAGAGTAAAGTGTGTTTAAAAATGCATATATTGGTGATAATAACATACACATATGCATTAAACTGGAGGAAATGCCATATAAAATGTGTATATTAGGAGAAATGTACACTAAGGTGCTGATGCATTTTCATTAGGGATTTTTAATTTTTAAAAAATCAGGACACTAATATGATTAACAATGAGAACTGAATTTAAGATTGGAAAAGTGAGAATCTGAAGGAAATTAAAATTTGCCATTCCTCACCTAGTATAGGATCATGCCAACCTCTCTTGCCCAGGTTTCTGATTTTGCAGCAGTGGCACTGATGACTACATGTTCTGGTTTATGCCAGCCCATCTGAATTCAGCACCTTTTAGAACAAAGGAATGAATAAAGCAAGGGCTTTCTAATCCGTCGAGCAAAGGGAAGTGTGGATGAATGATCATAAATCCCTTCTTCATCCATTTCTACCCATCCAAACTGCATTCCTTTAGGTAAACTTAGCTGAGAGAAATGCATGAAGTGGGCAAGGCTACAAGAAGTCATGTGGCACTTACAAGGAGGGCTTTCCTCCCATCATCCCAATACTTTTGATTGGACCCTCCCATCTCATATTGTGTGATTGGCAGCAGATGTGAGTTTAAATTAGGGTTAGGGCTCTCATTGCCTTCAAGATGTTGCTGGATTACAACCTCCTGGCATCCCTGACCATTGGCCATACTAGCTTGGTGCTGATGGGAGTTGGTGTTGTACAACATCTGGAGGACCACAGATTGTCTATCCTGCATTTAAATGAAGAGCTTTGCAAGCAGTGCCTCTAATTTGCTCTGAAATTTCCCTTCCAGATCACTAGGTGGTAAAGAGAAAGGATAAATAAGTCTTGTGATCCAGTATTTAGTTTTCCTTTCTCTCATTTTTCCTTTCATCAGTTGAGGCTGCTACTGGTCAGCTCTTTCTCCTGGAATGCCAGGGAAGCTTGCAGTGTTACTCAGGAGAGCTTATAGAGCAGCCATGTTCACAGTTTAACTCTTTTTTATTTAACTCTTCCCCCGTCCCATCCCCTCTCTCCTCTCTTTCACATGTGCAACATTGTGTGACTTGTTTCCACCCTGCCTTATCCCCTCAGACGATGACTGCACCAACTCCTTCACACCCAACCAGGTGGCAAGGATGCACTGCTACCTGGACCTCGTGTATCAGAGCTGGCAACCTGTCAAGAAGCCTGCCCCCATTGCTATCACACCACAGATCGTGGACCGAATGGGGACCTTCATCACCTTGGAGTGGTTTCCACCCATAGACAGGCACTTCTTTGAAAGGTGAATTGGTGGGGACAATGCACATCTGTTTGTCTGACTTTGAAAGGTGGGGATGGCAAATGGCAGTGGAGAAGCAATTAGTTGTTCAGATTAAGGTTATAGTTGGGGGGCTCATATAACTGGGCTAAAATCCCCTGCTCTCTTTCTTTTCTCCCTGAGAAAAGACGACACTGTCTTTTTTGCTAGTTTCTGGGATGGGGGGGTGGGGAGAGGTTTTTCTGGCCCACTGGTCTAAGTAGGTCTAGGAAGCATCTTAATTTGGCTGTTTCTTCCCTGCAAGCCATGCCCTCCTGCTCTTTGCTTGACAATATATATAACGTCAGGCATGGGGCAAGTAAATACATAATTCCATTCCAAATGCAAAATATACAGGTGCCTATATGATTACCTCATATGGTGTAGCAGTTAGGACATGGGAGACCAGGGTTCAGATCCTCACTTGGCCATGAAGCTCACTGGGTAACCTTGGGCTACTCAATGCCTCTCTGCCTAATCTACCTTGCAGAGCTATTGTGGGATTAAAATGAGGAAGGGGAGAACCATGTGTGCCACTTTGGTTTCCTTAGGGGGAAAAAGTGTATCACTAAATAAATAATAAAATAAAATAAAATAAGCTTCTAGACTAGCTTCCTCAGAACCTGCTGCAACTTAGCTGTGGGGAGAGCCTGTTTGGCCCCAGCTTCAAGCTGCTGCCTCTGACAGTTCATTTTTTTTCTTTCTCCCTTATAAGAGGCAGCGATTGCCACCAACTTTGATGGCTTTAAAAGAGAATTACACAAATTCATGGAGGACAAGGCTATCAATGGCTATTAGCCACGGTGGCTATGTTCTACCTCCTCTGACAGAGGCATCATGACTGAATATCAGTTGCTGGAAACAGCAGGAGGAGAGAAGGCTCTTGAATCCTGCTTGTGGGTTTCCCACAGGCATCTGGTTGGCCACTGCGAGAACAAATGCTGGACTAGATGGACCATTGGCCTTAAGCCATCAAGCTTGTCTTAATTACTCTGCTTCCTTCACTTGATCCCCTGCCTTGTGGCAGCAGGGAAGGAAACAGAGGTGACGGCACACGCTTCCAGATTCCCAGCAGGGATGTGATTCTATTTGTGTCCATTTCTGCTGGGATGGTGGCCCTGCCAGCAGGGGTCATGGAGGGAAGCCATAGAGATAGGCTCTTGGTCCTTTGGTGAGTGCTTAAGCTGGGCACTCAGATAAGCACAATCCTATTTGTGTCAACCTTCAGGATGCTTCTCTATCCCTATCATGGTATCACAGGGATTACCAACTTTTGTTGCGGAGGGAGAGGAGGGTGTCAGTGGACACATTTGGAATTTTGAGAAAGTGTAAAAAGAAAAAGAGCAGACAAAGAGGAACAGAATGGTAAAGGCATGCCACTCCCCAATCAGCTGCCCCATCAATGGGCTAAGAGACATTTGTGTCAGCCACTATCACCCTTCGCTTAGAGGTGTCCAGTCCTGTCATCCAATAAAATGTGGGCATCTCTAAGTGGTGGTGAGGGGATTTGATGCAGGAGAAGCTGATATGGTTTCTTAAGTGACCTTTTTGGAGACCTTTTGTGGGAGGCATAGACAGTACTGGGGCACACATGCTAGCACCCCTAGATGCCATTGGTAACCCCTCCTATATGGTCTATGCAGTATTTATGATTGAACTGCATAGTCCCAAGGAAATGCTTGGAATCATTCATATGAGAAAAAGACTTTGGGTTGTGCCCAGTGCTAGAGTAGATTCGTTGAAATTGATTTATATGACTAAGCTAGGCACATTAATTTCAGTGGGTTTCCTCTGAGTGGATCTTAGCTTAATACAATCCTTTATGTCTAAAGTGGCCTTTGGTTTTCCCTGCCTTCACCACTATTCCCCACCGCCACCATCTTTTCTCTCTCTTTCTAAAAGGGTAAATTAAGTTCTTGCAATATGTATTTAATTTATATTTCATAAAGCAGTTATTGTATGTTAAATAAATTCCATCTGCCTATTAAAAACATACTGATACAAGGTTAATTGTTATGTAACAAAATACGTCTCTCTGACATACGTCTTCAACCTCAATCAGTATGTTTTTAATAACCCCTGGCTAGTTTGTACTTAAGTAACACACAATGGCTGGCCTGTTCGATCTAGGATTTCATAACACAGTGATCATACCCTAAGTCAACACTAGATTTCTTTGACAAACCCTTCCATTGGGGTTTCAGTAGTATGGAATTGGCATAACTTGTGGATATCTAAGAAGACATTGTCCAGTAGTTATGTCATCATTTTCTCAGTTTCTCAAGCCTAGGATAAATAAATCTTACCGAGTTTTTTAAAATTTTATTTTAAAGGCAGAACAGGGAAATTCCTCAGACTCTTGTTCTGAATTAATAATTGATGCCTTGGTCAGTTCCTGTCGCTTTATCGCTGATCTAAGACAGTGGAATGGTCTCTCTATGTAACCCTCCAAACTCTCCTCAGGCCCTGTCTCACACCAACCCTACTTCATTCCCTCCTTGGGTGTTCTTTTGCTTAGCTCAGAACTCCAGTCATGCCTCTTGCTTGCCCTGATGGAGGACATGCCATTGCAATCTTTTTATTTGCATGCTGGCTTTCCACAAAAAGAATTGTGTTCAAAGCAGCCATGGCAAAGAATGCCAGAATAGATCACAACGCTAACACCATTGCAATAACAATTTAATAACAAGTAAATGGTTTAACACAATTAAAAAGGAGGAAATGTAACAACATTAATAACAATAAATAATGATATAACAATAAAACCAACATTTTTGTACTAGAAATGTAACAAGATTGCACTGACGACATACACCTCTTTGCGAGAGCAGAAATAACGAGGGACACACTGGTCCTAGAAACATGATGTTGCTCACGGTCCCTCTCCTCCAGTAACTTGCAAAGTCAGGGAGTGGTGTAGCAGGGAACTTCCCGCACATGATGCTGCTCAGAAAAGTACGTGTAATTGTGTGTAGAAAGTAGTCTGCTGTACAGAGGTAGAATTACATTCATTGTTGCACCTGCTTTCATCTGGCCCCATCTACCACTGGCATGTGGTCCTTGGAAAGTTGCCCAGAAGGGAATTCTCAGAATTCAGGGGCACATTCCAGCCAGGCAAGACTACTTGGGGTACAAAGCAGGGCCAGCAAGATGTGTTATCTGGAGAGAGTTCTGAGGTCTAGATATAGAGGCCTGGAGGGCCACATTTGTCCCCCCAGGTCTGATGCTCTAAAGCAGGGGTCAGCAAACTTTTTCAGGAGGTGGCCGGTCCACTGTCCCTCAGACCTTCTGGGGGGCCGGACCCAACGCCTCCCGAAAGCACCCCACCACACGAAAGGCCCCCCCACCAATGCCACTCTTGCCACAGCCGCCAACTCTGCCTCGTCTTCGGCAGCATTGGCGTCCTCTGTCTTAGCAGGGCACAGAGCCCATGCTGCTGGCCTGGGCGGCGGAGGCAGCCTCTGTGCCACTTCCGCTTCCTTCCTGCTCGGCCGCTTCCTCCCGCTTGGCCACCTTAGTGGGAAGGAAGGGGCGGTACCCAGAGGCATCTGTGGCTTTTGATGGGCTGCAGGAGCTTCCTGCAGCCCATCAGAAGCCGTGCCGCATCACGGAAGTCAGTCTCTGCATGGCGAGGTCTCTGCGCCGCGCCTGTATAGCTCAGGGACTGACTGAGCGGGTGGCAGGGTCCGCAAGGTTCGTGGGCCGGATTAACAAGCCTGGTGAGCCGTATCTGGCCCGCAGGCCTTAGTTTGATGACCTCTGCTCTAAAGCCCTGAATCTCTGTGGTTCAGTGGGTCAGTGCATCTGGCTGTTAGCCGGAAGGTTGATGTTTTGAGCCCACTCAGGGACAGCTGTGGGCAGGATTCCTGCATCATAGGGGGTTGGACTAGCTGATCCTCAGGGTCTCTTCTAACTCTACAGTTCTATTATTATAAGGAACTGAGCTGGTAGCAGGGGGTGAGGCACTGCACAGATGCTCTCAGAAAGCAGGTGTTGTATGCTAGAGTCTTAAAATGAATGTGAACTTGGGCTGCCAAGTAAGCACAAGTAAATACTGGAGCAGACCTGATAATTGCTATATGTAATAGATTATCAAGTTGAGCATGCAGAGACACCCATAGAGGCCTTGAAGTTTATGCATTTCCCCACATGCTGCACGGGCAGCCGTTTGGGGCAAGGTGCCCAGGGCCCCATTCTCCAGAATGAACAGGTGGGTCCTCAGCACAGCCAGATGGGCTTACTAAAATTTGATTTGGCGTCACAGATGTTGCCGTGTAAATGGGGTGGAAGTGGGGGGTTGGAGCTTAGGTCCATTAAGTACAGAATCAAAAATGACCTGATGGTGCTGCTGTTCATACCACACTCACCACTTGTCATAATGAAGCATTTTCTTGGATTCAAATAAATATGAAAAAGGAGCAGAAATAGAAGACCCCCCCAACACATTCGTTTCCTGACTGCATCAAAGCAGTTTTTAATCTCGTTATCCCCAGCCATTGCAATTACTCAATATGCATCGGACTGACACAGGCAGATATTTTTGACGGGCGTGACTGCGGAGTCCCATTTGAGCAAGAGAGACGCTCTCCATCACCCAGGTGGCTGTCATTTCCGCAGTTCCAGTGATCGCTATCTCTTTAATTCTTCCACAATGGCAGTGATTTGTGCGGTACAAACTTCTTGATCTAAGGAGGCGATTGGGAAGCCCTCTTGGACGTTCATGAGACTGGCTTGCTGGCTTTTAATTTCCCTTGCAAATGCCTGCGTCTCTAGCACATAAGGAAGGGACCCAGAGCTTCCAAAGTAGTTCAATATACCCCATTCCTCTCATTTTCGAAGTTGCACTTCAAGTCTCCATGCTTTGAATGGAAAGGCAATTCCTTTAATGAGCACGAGGTGTCCTTTCCAAATGTGTGTTCGGAGGCAAATTGCTTGATGAAACCAAAACTTGTTTTGCAGTTCTTTAAGAGCACGTCCAGAAAGGTATGACTGATGCTTTCTAAAGGAAGGAACCTAACTTACCTGGGATTGGTATCAGATAGGCCCCAATTTAGTAATATTTTTTTTAGAAAGCTAACAAGCACCAAAGGTGCAGGCATAAGGTTAAAAGAAGCTTGCAAACCTTGGTTTACAGGGCAGTCCTGGTTAGGGCCCACCCCAAGGTACACATGACCATAATACTAGGGGTGTGTAAATAGAAGCTCTCTAGTTGTTGCTGGACTACAGCTCCCGTCATCTCTCAGCACTGGCTGCGCTGGGGGAAGTTGGATTCCAAGCACAGAGAAATTTATATAGAAGGGCAAATTGCATCTTTTCTGCCTCTTTCTCTGGTGTGCCATATCAAGAGGCGAGGTGGGAGGGTTAAGTGATCTTCAACTTGTTATCTTATCCCATTTTATTCCATTGAATTCAACTGTTACTAAGTTGGTGCGTTTTCTTTCTTTTTCTTATTTCCTGGCCTCCTAGAGAAGTGGGATCAGCCTGTGATCTCTGCGTGGAAGGCAGGACCCTTGTGCAGTATGCATTCAGAGCCTCATCACCGATGCCATGTGACCCGTCTGGACACTGGAGTCCCCGTGAAGCAGAAGGTGACCTCACTCTGGGGGAAGGGAAATGGACAAGAAGCAAAGTGGAGGGTGGTTGTGACAACAGTGGAGGAGGAAGGAAGAGAAAACCAAGCAAGAGAAAAAGAAAAATGAAAAAATTATATAGTTTGAATGATAGCAGAGAAGTTCATAATTAGCACAAAATTGTCTTGCTTATACAGTAGTGCTTGACTGTCTCGTGAGACAAGGACCATTGCTTCCCAGACACGAAGCGGTGGTGATGTTTACTTAGTTTTGTTTGAGCCAAGATTAGTGTCCAGGACTCTCAGCAAGATTCTTAAATCAATTTAATATAGTGCAACCAACATCATGAATGTAAAGTTGTCAGGGAAGGAAGGTTACCCTCCCCCCCCCCCCACACACATGCACAGATGTAAATAAGCATAACTGACTAGTCATTTCTATGTCCAAACTGAAATACAGGGTTGTGTGTATGTATTGCCCATTGCTAAATAATATTCAAGGTATGTCAAAATTTCATCTCACACTTTTACCGGTCGGCGGTTCGAATCCCCACGACAGGGTGAGCTCCCATTGCTCGGTCCCAGCTCCTGCCAACCTAGCAGTTCAAAAGCACGTCAAAGTGCAAGTAGATAAATAGGTATCACTCTGGTGGGAAGGTAAACGGTGTTTCCGTGCGCTGCTCTGGTTTCGCCAGAAGTGGCTTAGTCATGCTGGGAAAGTAAACGGTGTTTCCGTGCGCTGCTCTGGTTTCGCCAGAAGTGGCTTAGTCATGCTGGCCACATGACCCAGAAGCTGTATGCCGGCTCCCTCGACCTGTAAAGCGAGATGAGCGCCGCAACCCCAGAGTCGTTCGCAACTGGACTTAATTGTCAGGGGTCCCTTTACCTTTACCTTTATGTCTCCTATTAATGTGTATGGGGAGAGGATTTTGGCCCATCTGTAATATAATTAGCACTCCCACCATTGTTTGATTTGAACAGCTGCTGCTTTCAGAAAGTCAGGAAAGTTTTGTGACTGCTGTATGTTTTCCACTTGTTGCTTACTTTACTAAACTGTAGGAAATAGTTGAAGGTTCGCCTGCTTTTAACTGTTTTTTTTTAAGCTTCACGCAAATATATAGCAAGTACAAATATACCAATACCTCCCAGCCTAGTAGTACTCTCTATTGTAGAGTTGGAAGGGACATCAAAGGTAATTTAGTCCAAATCTAACCAATAATTCCTGCAGTGCAGGAATTAGATTTGGTTTAGAAGGGGGGGAAATACTAGATATGGTAAAATAAAATAGTTCTCTGTATGTCTAGATACAGGTTTGGAGCAAGTATTCTTTGTTGAGAGAGCCCCAGTAGAGATTTAAAGTAACAAAATATGCAGCAAAGTAAAACATGGGGTTGTAGGCTATTAGACCTTTAAAATATCCCCTTCTAAGTCACTTCCAAACCTCCCCACTTCCATTCGCATAGAAAGAAACCACATGTTTGGAAAGTTGAAAAAGGTTTACAAACTTTTCAAAGGTCAGGTTCATGTACTTTTCCATATGGCAGCAAGAAAAGACAGGTAATATACCTTAAGTATAAGGATAGGAGTTTATAAATTATTTGTATAGAAATACAAAGATGGCTTGCTTAAGCCACATGGTCTAAACTTGGAGCATCCAGTGAACCAAATGAAGCTTTCACTTCTTAGAAGAATATCAGCGGTCAAAATTAATATCTTACCGAAAATGATCTTTTCGTTCCAAGCTCTACCAGTGATTAAAGGCACCAGCTATTTTAAACAATGGGGAAATTACATTACTAATTTCATATGGCGGGGGGGGGGTGAGAGAGAGAGAACGGGACGACAGGATTAAATATAAAATATTAATTGATGCAAAGAACAGGGGGGATTTGGGCTCCTAGACCTGAAAATGTACCATGTCTTTGTTGGATGAAAGACTGGGTGGAGCTGAAAAACATAAGCATCCTGGATCTAGAAGGATTTTATCTTAAGTACGGATGGCAAGCCTACCTATATTACGACAAAGCCAAGGCCCACAAGGGATTTCACAATCATGTGATCAGAAAAAGCTTCTACAGTGTCTGGGGGGAAACAAAGAGCACATTGGTGGATATCTCCCATCGAGCAGTGGCAATAAAAAACCAAACATGAACAAGATCTGGGGCACATATAAGGACCTCCTTGAGCAGAGGGAGGGCAGTTTAGGATTAAAGAGAAGAGAAGAGGTACAAAATTGGGTTTCAGACTGGTTCCAATACTTTCAACTAAATGAGGTCTTTAGGAAGGGCAAAGAAAATGGCTTTCTGGAAGGGAGTTCAGAATTTAAGAAAGGAATATTGGAAAGCAATCCAAAATTAATATCTAAACTCTATAAAATCTTTCTGGGGTAGGAAACAAAAGACAAAATGGTTAAGACTGCAATGATGCATTGGGCCATAGATATGGACCACAATATCAAAATCTCAGCGTGGGAAAAATTCTGGGATAAAACAATGAACTTTTCAGTTTGCAACTTGATAAAGGAAAATATAGTAAAAAATGGCCTAAAGGTGGTACATGACACCCTTCAAATTGGTTTAAATGTATGAAAGTAGCTCTAAACTCTGTCTGAAATGTGCAGAGGTTGAGGAATCCTTCATTCATATGAGGTGGCACAGTAAGTATGCCCAAGTGTACTGGGAGATGGTCTACAATTAACTCAAAAAAATCCTTTAAATTACATGTCCAAAAAACCTTGAAGACCTCTTACTAGCAATCGTTAGCAACAAGATCTCCAAAACGGCACACAACATCTTTCTCTATGCAACAGTGGCAGCCAGAGTAGTTTATGCTAGAAGTTGGATGAAAAAAAAACCAATTCCATTGAAAGACCAATGGCTGTATAAATTGTTAGAATTTGCTAAACTTTCCAACTTAACAGCCAAAATAAAAGATCAAGATGAAAAAAAGACGAAGGGTGAATAGGACCCTTTTGGGGAATACTGAAATCAATCTAAAAGTAGGGGTGATCTTATGACGAATTGCTAAAAACAAGGAGAGGCAACAAGGGGAACAGTAAGGTGGAATAAAAAACTGATATGCAGCTTAGCTAGGAATACCAAGAACGCCACGGAAGGTTAGGTTGGCAAGTCAGTATAGAAATTATGTTGGATGGTGAAATATGATGTGTAAACATGACAACTGGAAAATGCATAAATAATAAATAAATTTTAAAAGAAAATAACATAAAACCAACCATATTATTTTATGTTATTTTCACTAATATATGCAGTTTTAGGTAC